TAGAATTGCAGGATATTAGCTTTAAAGCCGCGCCAACAAAAACATCTCTCTGTCCTATGACAAAATGTGTAGAATTACAGGAAATTAAATTGAAAACTGCAAAATGTTATTTCCGATGCCAAGAGGCAGGCCTTTAAAATGTTCCTTCCCAGGGCCCAAGACTAGGTTCGTCCAGCCATGCACTGCAAAGTCATAATAAAACTCCTTATATGCTATTTTGTTATCTCACTCGAGTTGTGTTCTGATTATGAGGGGGTCCCTGATTAATTTGCTATCGCAGTAAGTCAAAAATGTCCAGCTGTGAGTCTGTGTGTGCGTGCATGCGTGCGTGCGTGTGTGTGTGTGCATGCATACCTTTATAGTGCTTGGTCATTCTCCCTGGCGTTGGCTCTGGGGGGGATCATACATATTTAAAGTGCCGGTAACCAGAGCCGCTCTGCGCTGACGACAGTCACTAGGCAACCACCAGGTGAGTGTGTTTCCTGGAAGTCTGCAAGTGAGTTTTACTTGACCCCCCCTGTCCTGCTTCCTCTTATAAAGAACTAATTATGTGTGTGTGTGTGTGTGCGTGTTCGTATGTAAAGGGTTTATTATTTATGGGTAAACTGAGACAGCTGTTGCTAATAATTTGTCAGGGGATGGGAAATGACAAATCATAGAGAAAAGAGGAAAAGAAAGGGAGGAGCAGAGAAGAAAAGAGGAGGGAGGGAGAGGGGAGAGGAGAAGAGAAGAGGAGGGAGGGAGAGGGGAGAGGAGAAGAGAAGAGGAGGGAGGGAGAGGGGAGAGGAGAAGAGAAGAGGAGGGAGGAAGGGGAGAGAGAGAGAACGAGTGGTGGGTGGGAGAGGGGGAGGAGAGAGAAGAAGAGGAGGGAGTGAGAGCGGGAGAGGAGGTAGAAAAGAGGAGGGAGGCGGACGGGGAGAGCGAGAAGACGAAGAGGGGGAGGGAGAGGGGAGAGGAGAAGAGAAGAGGAGAGAGTGAGAGGGGAGAGGGTAGAAAAGAGCAGGGAGGGTGAGGGTGAGGATGAGGAGAAGAGGAGGGAGGGGGAGGGGAGAGGAGAAGAGAAGAGAAGAGGAGGGAGGGAGAGGGGAGAGAGGAGAACGAGAGAGGAGGGAGGGAGAGCGGGCAGAGGAGAAGAGAAGAGAAGAGGAGGGAGGGAGAGGGGAGAGGAGAAGAGAAGAGAGAAGAGAGAAGAGAGAAGGTAAGGGACGGGATAGGATGGTGTCCTACCTTGTACCCCTCCACGCCCCCTGCTGGGGCTCCCCAGCTCACAAACACTGATGAGGTCACATCCTCTTTTACCAGCAGCACTTCCTGTGGGGCTCCTGGGACTAGAGAGAAACACCAATCAGAACATCTGTTCTGATATCATTCAATCAACATTCATTTCACTGATCTCCACCATCGGAATGAATCGTACTGGGTTTGTTGTGTGCGTGTAATAAGTAGTGTGTGTGATGTGTTGTGGAGCTGTGTGTTAAGTGTTGAGTGCAAGTGTGTGTATATATGGGTGTGTTTGCATGTATGTGTGTGTGAGAATAATGTTTTACTTGACCTTGACCTGGAACATAAAGGAGATAAACTCTGAATACCTCAGTTCCTACTGGAACCTCCCAAGATAAGTCACTGCTGCTGCCAGCCAAATATCTGTATGTGTGTGTATCCATAACTCACTGGTGTTGATGTCTACAGAAGCCGGTGTACTCCTCCTCTCTCCATTGCTGCTGATAACATCTACTGTGTAATAGCTTCCTGGGGAGAGGTCCTCAAACCTGTAAGACCTACACACACACACATACACACACACACAGCCAGTGTTACCCAGACAGCAAGTGGAAGCTGGACCAGCCAACAAGGACACAGTGTGCCAGGAGGGTAGGACTCACCATGGCTCTTGGGCTGGTAGGTTCAGCTGCTGATTGGAGGTTTGGTTTATGATTGACAGGATGAAGCTTTTGACAACTTCCCTGGCCTGGGTCCAGCCGACTGTCACAGATGATGTGGTCTTACTGAGGACTGATACCTCCACTGGACTGGGAGCTAACACACACACACACACACACACACACACACAAATGCTGATTAATAAGAACCAGAGAGAGGTGTGTTTGTGTGTGTATGTGTCTGTGTACCTGTAGTGATGCTGAGTGTGACAGGGGGGCTGTCTGTGAAGAACTCTTTCTCCGTCCTCAGAGAGAAGTGGTACAGCCTGCCTGGTAGCAACCCAGAGAACACTGCCCTCGGAACACACACCTTCTGGACCTAACACATACATATAGTACCAGTCAAAAGTTTGGACACACCTACTCATTCAAGGGTTTTTCTTTATTTTTACTATTTTTTACATTGTAGAAAACTATGAAATAACACATATGGAATCATGTAGTAACCAAAAAAGTGTTAAACAAATCCAAATATATTTTATATTTGAGATTCTTCAAATAGCCACCCTTTGCCTTGATGACAGATTTGCACACTCTTGGCATTCTCTCAACCAGCTTCATGAGGTAGTCACTTGGAATGCATTTCAATTAACAGGTGTGCCTTGTTAATGCGTTTGAGCCAATCAGTTGTGTTGTGACAAGGTAGGGGGGTATACAGAAGATAGCCCTATTTGGTAAAATACCAAGTCCATATTATGTCAAGAACAGCTCAAATAAGCAAAGAGAAATGACAGTCCATCATTACTTTAAGACATGAAGGTCAGTCAATCCGGAAAATGTCAAGAACATTGAACGTTTCTTCAAGTGCAGACGCAAAAAACATCAAGCGATATGATGAAACTGGCTCTCATGAGGACCACCACAGGAATGGAAGACCCAGAGTTACCTCTGCTGCAGAGGATATGTTCATTAGAGTTACCAGCCTCAGAAATTGCTGCCCAACTAAATGCTTCACAGACTTCAAGTCACAGACACATCTCAACATCAACTGTTCAGAGGAGACTGTGTGAATCAGGCCTTCATGGTCGAATTGCTGCAAAGAAACCACTACTAAAGGACACCAATAAGAAGAGGAGACCTGCTTGGGCCAAGAAACACGAGCAATGGACATTAGACCGGTGGAAATGTGTCCTTTGGTCTGGAGTCCAAATTTGAGATTTTTGGTTCCAACCGCCCTGTCTTTGTGAGACGCGGTGTGGGTTAACGGATGATCTTCGCATGTATATTTCCCACCGTAAAGTATGGAGGAGGAGGTGTTATGGTGTGAGGGTGCTTTGCTGATGACACTGTCTGTGATTTACTTAACCAGCATGGCTACCACAGCATTCTGCAGCGATATGCCATCCCATCTGGTTTGTTCTTAGTGGGACTATCATTTGTTTTTCAAGAGGACAATTACCCAACACACCTCCAGGCTGTATAAGGGCTATTTTACCAAGAAGGAGAGTGATGGAGTGCTGCATCAGATGACCTGGCCTCCACAATCCCCCGACCTCAACTCAGTTGAGATGGTTTGGGATGAGTCGGACCGCAGAGTGAAGGAAAAGCAGCCAACAAGTGCTCAGCATATGTGAGAACTCCTTCAAGACTGTTGGAAAAGCATTCCTCATGAAGCTGGTTGAGAGAATGCCAAAAATGTGCAAAGCTGTCGTCAAGGCAAAGGGTGGCTATTTGAAGAATCTCAAATCTCAAATACATTTTGATTTGTTTAACACTTTTTTGGTTACTACATGATTCCATATGTGTTATTTCATAGTTTCGATGTCTTCACTATTATTCTACAATGTAGAAAATAGTAAAAATAAAGAAAAACCCTTTTGACTGGTACTGTATACTGTAAAAACATGATATAGGCAGTCGACCACATAAACACATTATATAGACACTCGACCACATTATCATATTATATAGATACTCGACCACAGGAACATATTATATAGACACTCGACCACATAAACACATTATATAGATACTCGACCACACACTTTATACATGCACACACACGCTGCTGCCGTACCATGAGTGTGTGGTGACAGTTGAGACAGATGACTTCATAGTTGTGTCCGCGTCCAGGAGCTGGATCCCACAGCATCTCTACTGATGACTCTGTTACTGAGCCCTCTCTCACACTACTGGGAGAGGCCAGGCCTACACACACAAACACACACACTTCATCACCGTCAACATCCTCATCTGAGGAGAGGATACTCAGATGGAAATATAAGTGTGTGTGTGTGTACTCACGTGTCCTGAGTGTGTGTGTTTGGTATGGTGGTCCGGTCCTGTGCCGGCTGGTGCTGTAGACACTAAGATGGTACTCCTCCCCTGGAGTCAGGCTGCCAACTGTTACTGTGTGCTTACCAGGGGGGAATGGCGACCAATCACACACACCCTTACACACACACACACCCTCACACACTCCCTCACACACACACACCCTCACTCCGTCACACACACCCAGTACTGGTCTCTGGACATACAGAACCACAGAACTGCTTCCTACCGAGAGAGGGACAGCTGCCTGCACGGGCCCTGGCTCTACACACAGACAGAAATGCACACACACACAATGTGAAAGAGAAACACACACAGTATGATAGAGCAAAACCAACATTTCTTCAACTTGAACACACACATCTCTGTGGGCCTACCTGTGGTGTACGTGGTGTTGATCTCTTGGCTCTTGTTCCCTCCTCTCACTGAAGCCACACCTAACTCGTAGTTCTGACCTGGACTGAACATGGCCAGGAACACACACCTGGACTCATTTACCCACAGTTCCCTGGGACGGGCCTGGCTGACGGGGCGTAGCCTGACATAGTACCCATCAGGCCGTTCACCTGACGGGGCGGACCAGCACACTGTCAGATTCTCCCCTCTGCTAGACACAACCACGCCACCTGGGGGGCTCACCGCTGCAAACACACACACACACACACACACAAATGCACACATACACACACACACTCATTCAACATTATTCTGTAAAAAAAACACAGAGCCACATAGAGACACAAACAAGTACACCCTAAGCGTTAAACAAACACAGACTTTCATACCAGTGTATAGGGTCAGTTCCTCCCCTCCACAGCTCTCCACACCGTGTTCTGTGACGGAGTCAACTCCGACCTTGTACTTCCTGAACCCCTCCAGTCCCGCAATCATAGTCGACCTGGAGCTGCTGGCCACACCCATTCTCATCTCCTGGCCTGACGCTACACCCTCCCAGCGAACCAGAAAGCTCCACCGCACAGCATGCTGGGAGTCTGGGGCTGTCCAGTTTACTGTGATCTGACTGGCCATCACGTTGCTAATGCTGACGTTTCGAGGGGGAAGGGGCCGTGTGTGAGCAATGTGCATGCTCCCCAAGCTCCATGCGGCCCCAGTGAGGTGGGAGGCTCTGAGGGACAGAAAGTAGACCTTGCCTGGGGACAGGCCTGGCACCTTCAGCCCTCTGGAGAATAGAGACACTGGGACACGACCTGCATGCCTCCTCTCCTCCCTTACTTTCTTCTTCTCTTCCCCATGTTCTTCCTCCTTTTCTTGGTATTGGACATAGAGCTGGGGGGCAGGGTGGGAGGAGTTTAGGAATGTAAGGTCACTCCAGTGGAGCTCTGCTTCTCTCTCTGTTACCTCCACCAGGTCAAAGGTGAATAAAGGAGGGAGGAGAGGGACTGAGAGAGAGAGAGAGAGAGAGAGAGAGAGAGAGAGAGAGAGAGAGAGAGAGAGAGAGAGAGAGAGAGAGAGAGAGAAAGCAAGAGAGACAGGGTTAGTGGGTGTCGGGAAGGAGTAAAGGGATATTAGGGTGTTTATTTACTCTGGTATTGAATGTATTAATGCGTACTTTCCCAGTGACAGATAAAGGGTAAAGGAATGTGGCAGAAGAACGAAGTCAGGAAGTAGCCTGGTCCAGTAGTGTTCCTCTGTAGGGCAAAACAGTCCGTCTGATTGGCTGGCAGTGATGATGATGTCATAGCACTAGTCAGGTTGTAGGAGGAGCCATCAGACCAGTGGGGCAGCCCCTCATCCTGTGAAGACAAACAACAACAAAAAACATGATGTGTGTTTTCGTGTCAGACACAGGCTGAGAATGTCCCAGTCATCAGCTTTAAATCACAGACTAACACACTCCTCTGTAATGAGGAAGCTAATGTGTCTGACTGTTTAGAAAGCAAACACCATTCATGCTAACACAGCCATTTCTATCACATGCATGTGTGTGTGTTACCTGTCTGTCGTTGAGAGCGGTCCAGAGCAGTAGCAGGTTGTTGTGTGTAGTCAGGTGAGAGGAGAGGAGGAGGAGGTCTCTCTCTGTTTTAACATCCACCAGGTGTCCTCCTGAAACCATGCCCATACAGGTTTGCTGGGCGTCGCCCCACGACAGGCTCCGCCTACTCACACTGTAGCAGCTCCTTCCACTCGCCAGCCAACCAATAGGACACTGGGCTGAGGAGAGACAGTGGTCAACTCACGGTCAACTTAGACATACAGCGGTCAACGTTTATTACGTGTGTGTGCGTGTGTGTGTGTGTGCTGTACCTGTCTCCATGGTGGTGTGTAGTCTCTGGGTGAGGCTGATGTTGAGGTGTGTGAGGGGCGTGGTCAACTCTGCTGTGATGCTGTAGTATGCTCCAGGCTGCAGACCTCTCACTACGTACGAAGAGGTGTGTGTGTGTTCAGTGTGTGTGTATTCAGTGTGTGTGTGTTTTATGTGTGTGTTGTGTAGACTGAGAGCAGTGAGGCTCTGTCTGTTCTGTAGGCTGCAGGTCAGGAGAGTGCTGGTGGTGGTCACCTCGACACGGAGACAGGAGAGGGGGACAGGAGCTACACAGTGATGCACGCACGCACAAACAAACATGCACAAATGCACTCACACACACACACACACACACACACACACACACACACACACACACACACACACACACACACACACACACACACACACACACACACACACACACACACACACACACACACACACACACACACACACACACACACACATAAACCTGTTACAACTCCAAAAGTATAACTGTGAAACAGTAAACCATTTAATTGAATCCATTATCTTTTAACTTCTGTTTCATAACAGGACCATATAGGTCAGAGTAAGGCTCACCGATATGAAAGGTCTTAGTCTTCAGTGTGGTGTTGTTTTTGATAGCTTTCAGCGTGATGTCACTTCCTCCTGGCTCATTGGCCAATCGCAGCAGCAGCCTGCAGTCAGGAGAACACTCAGAGTGGCCAATAGGATCCAGCCACACCTGAAGGGACGGGACAGAGAGTTGTTTAGTGGTTGCGATATCGTTGTGGTTGTCCGGTGACTGTGCGGTAGGACCGTGAGGCTGGGTGCTGGTGTTGTGGTGTTTCTATGGAGGTTGTGTGGTGGTTTACGTTCTGACCGTGAGGTTGCGTGCAATCTGGTAGGAGACGGTGTAGCAGTCTGGATCCTGACTGGTGGGGAAGTGGCCAAACACAAGCTCAACAACCGCGACCGCAGGATCTGACCACCGCACACACGAGAGACTGACCACCTGGAAAGAGAAAGAGAAAAGAGCAATTTTTCAACCTCAGACATTCTATACATAGCTCAGACTGCATGTGTCATATTTGAAACTTTGACACATACGGTTAAAAGAAGAGCGTTGTGATAAATCATAACTGTTTCACCTAAAACGCATAGCTATAAACTGTGTGGGTGTAGATGTGTGTGTGTATCTTACCTGGATGAACCCTGCCAGCAGCCACATATGCACGATTCCATCCATGGGGAAGCCTGGTAATCTCATCAGCACACAACAGGAGCGGTATTCAGAATCATCTACATATGGTACCACAACATACACCCAATATCAATGTTGCTTTGGAATCAGAAACTCCTGGATGTTTGTATATCCCATCTATGTACCGAAGACTGAGGAAACTACATGACCAGAGGTTCCAGTGAGGACTGAGGTTGTCAGAGCTCTGTATAAGAGGAGTGTATCACAGCTGAACTACACGGAGTAGTCCTTCCCAGTGACGCAAAACAACTTTGAATTTAGCGCCCTTCAGCAGCTTTCCGAGAAGCAGAGCCTCGTGTGGAGGCGCGCACAGTCCCATTCAATCAGTCTGTGTGTGTGTGTGTGTGTCGCTCACACCAATTTGTTCTGCCCCTGCCACCCTTTCCTCTTTGTTGGGATAAGAGCAGGTTACTATGACGACCAGGCTTACAGCCATTGAGAGAGGACCTCCTGAGGAGAAAGGGAGAGAGAAAGAGAGGGAGAGAGGGAGAGAGAAAGAGAGGGAGAGAGGGAGAGAGAAAGAGAGGGAGAGAGAAGGAGAGGGAAGGAGAGAGAGACGAGGTGAAAGTAAAGTACGTAAAGTCGATTAGATAGACAACACTCCATACACCTCAGCCTGTTTGCAGATTCATACTCCAGTCAATTCAGGGCCACTCTCTGTAGTGATGCAGTGATATGCTAATCAACTCCACTGCTGTGTGTTCCACATGGCAGATCAAAGCAGTCTGTGCGTGTGTGTGAGTATGTGTGTGCACCCAGAGAGCAGAATGGTGAGTGGTTGAATGTGAGCTAGTGGTCTGTGGAGAATGTAGAGAATGTGAGAAAGAGGAATCATTCACTGATCAATCACTAATCAATCACTAATCAATGACTGATCAATGTGATTTCATGCCTCTCCAATACTTCACCACATCCTTGTGGAGGTCACTGGTGTTTTATCTAGGATGAAGTGTCATTAACATTGTGTATTTACATGGTAATTATATATACACATTGTTACACAGACTCCTACATACACCATAATTACACATCACCAGGACAGAGAAACACAAACACACGTCAGCACTGAACAGGCTGTGTCAGCAGGGGAGTGTGTGTGTGGAGGAGGAGGAGGAAGAGGAGGAGGATGATGAAGAGGAGGAGGATGGGGAGTTTTTTATTCATGCAAAAAACACCAACCAGTCAGTCAGACACTGTTGAATGTTTTATTGTTCCATTCATAGTGGTTATCTGTGTGACTAAAGACTGTAGTCTATCTGATGGCATCAGCACATACTGTATGATTACTGGCACAATGCTTCACATTAATTAAACAACACAACAAATTCAGCGTTCTGAAGAAATACAGATAATCTATCATCAGATACTTAGGTGGATTATCACCTTACTAAATAATTAATTGATTTAAATACAACTATTTTTTGTATAAAAGCTTTACATTTGTAAAAAAGAAAAGAGAAAATCTAAGATAATTTTTATCAGCATATAAAACATGTCAGTCATCAGGAGAGCACTATATCCATACTAAAGCAGCAGCGGTCCTGTCAGCTGGGATCAACTGATCTGAACATTATAAAGTCAGAGAGGACTAGCTAGTATTACATACGAGGAGGAGCAGGCTACAGCAGTACAGACAGGACTAGTGTTATCATAGTAGAGAAGGAACAGGTTACAGCCCTACACATCTGACCACTACATATCTGTAACAACAGGGTCACTATAACAGGTCAGCATACAGCCCTCCACAACACACTGAAGGAAGACTAAAGAACTCGCCGACATGGACGCTTGACCTGTCTGCTCTGACCTCTGACCTCTTTTCCATCTCCCGTCCCTCCTACTGTACGCCATACTGGAGCTCACACTAACTAGCTTCTTTCTCTCTTTAGTTCCATTGGCAGGTGCAGTCGACAGGCTCCTGGAAGCTGTAGACCACCAGGGTAGCATTGTGTGAGCAGTAGAGGGTGACTGAGCGGGTTTGTAGTCCACTCTCCCTGCAGCACTTACAGAAGCGGGCGTGGCTGTTGATGTTGAAGTTAAAGATGGTGGCAGACGGACACTTCCCATCACACGAATACACTGTCACCTGAGAGAGAGAAAAGAGAGAGCGAGAGAAAGAGAGAGAGAGAAAGGGGGAGAGTGAGGGAAGGGGATTTTATACTCTATCCGTGTTAACTTTTTTAAAAACTGTCTCATTGACACAGTCTCTCTCTCACCGGTGCGTTGCTCCTGCAGTCGTCTTTTCTGATGGTGGTTCGGATTGCCACACGCTTACACGTCTTACCGTCCTCCTTACCTAAACACACACGCACACAGAGGAAACGCTGAGATGCACACGCATGCACACACACACACAACTTTCATCCTCAGCCCTAGAGTCCTGTCATTCACACAGTCAAAGGTCTATTGAGCTGGGCTCTTTGTTGCCTAGCAGCGGGGATTCAGTTTGATCGACTGCCAGGTGACCGGGGGGGGGGGGGGGGGGGGGCAGTTCTCACGCCAGAGACCCAGCTCCTATTGGCCACTGGCCAATCAGGGTAAGCGACAGGGGGTTGGGGCTGGGTGATGGAATGTTGAAAGATAGCTACACGGCGTCCAGCTCTACACTCTCTTTATACTTGAAGAAACAGGGATGATTCTAACTCACATTAAGCAGTGATTCCCAACCAGGGGTACTAGGACCCCTTGGGGTACTTGGCCTATCCACAGGGGTACTTGAGAAGACACATTAGACCATAGGCTTACTGGTACAATGCACATGAGGGGGTCCTTCAGGGGTACTCCGGGCAGAGCAAAATTCAGTTGGTGGTACAGTAACCACTGGCCTAGAGGATTCAGCACAGCAATAACATGTTGACACATTTGAATGGGATTTTGCTCTGAGGTATGTTAGGTGAACCTTAACATGTAGTTTATATATATGGTGTGGTAGGGGTAGGACTAGAACACACACTGTGATAGGTGAGGGGTGAGAGGTAGTGGTACCTGTGTCACAGTTACTACTACCAGTTGGGGGTTATGGGGTGAGATGTGAGAGGTTAAAGATGAAAGGTGAGAGGTCGTTGTACCTTTGTCACAGTTAGTACTACCAGTGGGGGTTACGGGGTTAACGGTAAACGGTAAAACACCGACTCCAGAACCTGGGAGCAGTGGCAGGAACAGCAACGTCAGGAGAACGTTAGGAAAACACACAGGTTAACGTTGGTTTAGAACACATTGAACACACACAGAGGAATCAGCGCAGTTGGCATGCACAGCCATGGGAGCCAGACAGTGTTCTCTGAGACTGGGGAAGACAGCCAGACGGCCAAACACTCAGGATCACTATACGCTGATGCACCAAGGCTCATTCTCATTGGCCAAACTCTAAACACCAAGCATCATCATTGGCCAAACTGTAACAAACGTAGCATTCCCATTGGCCAAACTGGTCAAGCAGGCAAGCGGGCAAGGAGGCAGAGCTGCTGTATTACTGGGAGAGCACACTGGGTCTGTATTCTTCATCTTTACATGTGAAATTAGTGTGTTTAATGGGACTATTCACACAAAATACAAACTACCTTCATCTTATGGACACCTAGAAAGTACACTATGGATTCAGAGAGTCAGTTTAGCTACAGTTTATCATTAGCATCATAGTCTGAAACAATGGGAATAGTAGGACTCCTGTTTGCATGCTGTTATTCTCCAGATAACTGTGAGGTATGACAATTTTATATATTTGATAAATCAACAGTAACATCCTCCTTCAATGTTATCACGACAGTGTATCAGGACCATTAGGCAGATCTAGGACCACCCCTAGAGCAGAGGCTGCTGGGTAGTGTAGTGATTCATGCTGGTTGTTGCCAGCCAACCACAAGCTTTTACTCTGCCCAAGGCTGCTACAGGTCACACCCCCCAACCAGTCAGCCAATAAGCCCAACCGCTGCCAGGCAACGCCCTGCCCACCCCTGTGATTGACAGCCGAAAGCGTATGAGAAGCGAATGTGATTGGTCACTCACACGTCCTGCAGCAGCCGTCCACATAGCTCTGGACCACTCCCCCATTCTGCAACGATTGAGGAAAGGTTACAGACAGACCTCATTGTGTGTGAATGTCAGTGTGTGTGTGTGTGTGTGTGACAGAGTGTGTACCTGAGTGCACTCTGTGTCGTTGAAGGGGGGGCAGACCACTCCTGAGGCCAGCATCACAGTTCCCACTGTCGTCTCCACACAGTCATACCGCGTACAGTTATCCACCCAGGAGCTCCCTGCCTGTACACACACACACACATACACACACACACACCGTCAAAGTTAGCCATCCAGGATTTCCCCGTCTACATACAAAGTGTTTGTGTGTTAGGTAGAGTGTGTGTCTGTTTGGTAGTATTATGATTTGTGTGTGTTCTCACAGTGAAGAGTTCAGTGGTTCCATTGTCGTTGTTGAAAGAACAGGAGACATTCTTACAGGAGCCACAGCACACCTGAGGATCTGATGATGCAACGTACAGCTGGTGCTGAGAGAGAGAGGGAGAGCAAGGGGGACGGGGGGACAGAGATTCCAGAATAATTTACCTAGCTCTGATCAGGATGGAAGTTTGTGGTGTGTGTGTGAGAGAGAAACACATACCTGGCCACACTTCTGAGAGCAGTTGACAGCGGACACGTCCATGGCGTAGTATCCAGTGTGTGTGTCACGGTGTGTCAGACAATGGACGGTGTAACACAGCTCTCCTTCATAGTACTGAATCAGGCTCTGCCCCGGCCCCAGCACCGTGACTCCCTGGAACACACACACCTCCGCCTTCTCTAGGAGAGGCAATGCATGTTCGAATGCATGTTAGAATTTCACCAAGTAGAAAGGGAAGAGGTTGAAAGGATGCTGTTGTCTCTTTCGGATGACAAGTCACCTGGTACAGATAATATTGACGCCAAATTGCTTAGAGTTACAGCTAACCAAATATCTACCCCAATCTCTCATATTTTTAATAAGTGCTGGGGTGTGCCCAGAAGTCTGGAAAGAGTCAAAGGTTATTCCACTACCTAAGGATAAGAAATCTGCATTCACTGGTCCTTATAGTCATCCTATAAGCTTGCTGCCTGTGTTAAGTAAATTATTGGAAAAAATTGTATCTGTTCAAATCAAGGATTATTTCTCATGTAATGGTCTGATAACGGGTTTCCAGCATGCATACAAAGAAGGGCATTCTATGAGTACGGCCTTAGCACAATTGACAGATGATTGGTTAAAGAGTATGGATGACAGGAAGTTAGTTGGTGCAGTGTTGCTAGATTTCAGTGCTGCTTTTGATGTAATTGATCATGAACTGTTACTAGGTAAACTCAAATGTTATGATTTTAAGTCTGCAGCTCTATCCTGGATGGAAAGCTATCTATCCAGGAGAAGGCAAAAGTGCTCTTTAATGGTAGCTTTTCAAACAGTAAAGATATACACTGTGGTGTTCCTCAAGGAAGCTGCCTAGGCCCACTTCTCTACTCTATCTGTACTAATGATTTACCTTCAGTAATGAACAAAGCAAGAGCGGTAATGAATACTGATGACTCTACAATGTATAGCGCAGCATCAGAATGTAATGAGCTAACAGATGCACTGAGTAGTGAACTAAGAATGGTGTTTGGGTGGGTTGATATGAACAAATTGGTGTTGAACATTTCTAAAACTAAATGTATTGTTTTTGGTTCAAGATATATGCTTGCTGATGATCCCCAATGGAATTTGTTGAGGAATAGAACGCATGTAGAGCAAGTGAAAATAACGAAACTACTAGGCATCATGTTGGACGTAGCTTTATCATGGTCAGAACACATAGATAATATTGTTATTAAATGGGTAAGGGAATTGCTGTTACAAGAAAATGTTCAGAGTATGTAACATCTAGCACTCTGAATCAGGTGATTCAATCCCTGTCCTATCACACCTAGAGTACTGTCCAGTTATATGGTCATCTGCAGCAAAGAAATATATAAAAAAGCTCAAAATGGCTCAAAACAGGGCTGCCAGATTAGCTCTTCATTGCTCTATCCGTATAAATATTATTCAAATGCATCAGAATCTCTCATGGCTTCACGTTGAAAACAAATTACTATCCAGTCTTCTGATTTTCTTTAGGAATGTTATATTTGTCAAAAAACCACTGTATTTTTCAGACCAGTTAGTACATAATAGCAACATGCATAACCACCTAAATTCAGGGCATCTAAGACAACCCATGCCAAGGACAAATCGCCTTAAATGTACAGTTTTATATAGAGCCATAGCTGAATGAGAAATATGGATTGGTAAAGAGTTCCAGGCAAAAAGTAAATCCATCTTCAAGAAAAAAATTAAAGAACATCTAATGCGATAGACCATATGACTGGACAGGAAATAGAAAGCATTAACTGAATGTTAAATGTGTTACCTGTCAGGTATTTTAATTGTCTGTATTGTCTACTTGTTAAATGTTTGTAAAGTCTTAATTTGTAATTGTTTGAAATGTCTTATTAATTGGTGTTGGGCCTCAGGACGATTAGCTAACGTTACAGTGTTAGCTAATGGGGATCCTAATAAGAATTCACAAATTCTACACACACAGGTCAGGGCTCATGGGTTAGGGGTTGGTAACCTAGCGGTGTGTCTGTGCATAGTGTGTGTGTGAGTGTCTGTGCATAGTGTGTGTGTGTATAGTGTATGTGTGTGTGTGTACTTACTGCAGGTGTAGAGGGGGCAGCCACAGGTGCTTCTGCCGTCTGGGACCTCCACCTGTACCTCCCCCTGAGAGACCAGAGACATTACTATGACCACGCAGACACACACACACACACACACACACACACACACACACACACACACACACACACACACACACACACACACACACACACACACACACACAAGAGCAAGCAAACGTACACAAATCACACAAGGACAATCCTAAAGCTGACTGACTCACCACCTGACAGACTGGGAGAGAGCTGTCCTCACACTGGCACTCTGAGAGGAGGAGAAAGACTGGGTTTACTACAGAACTGGAGGCCTGGAACAGTGCTCTCTGTTTGAACTACAAGATTTTTTCAAAGAGACAGTTCTGGGCATGTTGGTATGTGTGTGTATTTAGATGTGTGTGTGTGTGTGCAACTCTTGCGCTTGCAAAAGTGTGTGCGCGTGTGTGTGTGTGTACCACAGTGGCGGTCGGGGCAGCAGTGTCCAGGTAGGGTGGTTTGGACCAGAGACAGACCAGGAGAACAGCTCAGAGACGACTCAGGACACAGGTTCACGTCACACACTGCACACAGAAGAACATTGCTGTAAACATCAACACTGTGTGTGTATAGTGTGTACAGCTTGTATGGTGTGTAGAGTATAATGTTTGTGTGTGTTACCACAGTGGTATTGAGGGCAGCAGCTGTGGGTGGTGTTCAGATCCACAGCCAGTATCTCTCCATAAGAACAGGACGGGACTGGCTCGATACACGACTCGCACACTGCAGAGAGAACACACACACAGTCAATTCGACCACTGACTGTTTTTGGCCGATCTGACTGTTTTTATATTTCCTTTACAAATTGTACCCCAAGTCCAGCTACAGTAATGTTGGATGGTGATGGTAGACCCATTACGAAGTATAAGGTTTGACCTTACCACATAGGAAGGAGTAACAGCAGGAGTTGTCCTCACGAACCTCCACTAGGAACTGATCTTCTCTGCAATCAGGGGCGGTGAGGGGGGGACAGGCATGGGGGTCGCACTCTGGGACACACCAATCACAGGACTCAGTTATTAAACCACACCTAACAATACCATCAAATGATTAAAGATATTATGTTTTGTTTCAGTACCTACCACAACGGTACTCTGGGCAGCAGGACAGGGCACTGTAACCAATCACCAGCCGGTTCCCATTCTCACACGGTGGAGCCTCACTCTCACAGATGGTCAGATTACACTCTGAGGGAGAATGAGAGAGAGAGAGAGAGAGAGAGAGAGAGAGAGAGAGAGAGAGAGAGAGAGAGAGTGAGAGAAAGAGAGTTGGTGACTATATGTAGGTGTCTAAGCATACATTTGTGTGTCTATGTGTGTGTGTGTGTGTGTTTGTGTGTGTGCTCACCACAGATCTTCTTGGGGCAGCAAGCCCCCTCCTCCAGGACATCCAGTACGTACTCTCCCTCCCTCTCACACAGCGGAGTGGGACTAATGCTGCAGTCAGGTTCTTCTGACACCACAGAACCGTTCTCCAGGCAGCGGAACAGACAGCAGCTACGCAATGACCCGTTCCACACCTCCCCAGGGGCCCGCGGAGACCCCTCGTTATCAGTACACACTACACACATAGACACAGACACACACGTTAAAAGTACACACTAAACAACACAGAACCTGAACTACAGTCATACAGAGCACCAGCTCATAGCGTTGACATACTAGAGCTGACATGTAACTGACATAGAGTTGACATAGAGTTGACATACTCACCACACTGCTCCTCTGTGACGCAGTAAGAGGAGTCTGCTCGGTGCAGGATGGTTCCAGAGCGACACACACACTCCTCTCTGATGTGGGAGCAGGTGGTCTCCTCATAGAACTCTCTGTTCTGACAGGTCCGGGTGGTACAGGTCGACACACACGCCTGGTACTCCCTACCTGGGGGACACCTCAACGCTACACACGCACACACATGCAGATGCATTAGCACACACACACACACACACCGCAAGAACACACATTTGTGTCCTTACCAGCTAATGCAGACCTTATGTGTGCATGTATTAGTGTGTATTAGTGTGTATTGGTGTGTGTGTGTGTGTGTGTGTACAAGGTCCTTACGGCAGAAGTTGTGTCGTCTCCAGCTGATGCAGACTTGGTAAGTGTAGCAGACAGCTACGTAGGCTGCCAGGAAGTCACACTGGTGGGCCTTATAGTGGAGGTCGCCTGCCCACATCACATCACAGAACTGCTCTGGAGACACCTTGCTGTGGCACGGAGTGAAGGGTCTCTGTCTGAGCATGGAGAGACAGGTAGAGCAGTCTCCAGTGGTACAGTTGTCTCCGATGCGTCGTGTGTGTTCCGTGTCCTCTGAGGTTTGGACCCTCCAGGCCTGCAGGAACAGACCCAGGTCTTCCACCTCCCTCACCACCGTACCGTTAGGCAGCTTCAGGTCATCCGCCGGGTTCCCATCACAACACCCTGGGAGACACACCAGCAGGCACATGCACAGCTCAAGTTTAGAGAGAAGTAGAAGGTGCTTGTCACGCCTACTCCCGATGTCACCGGTCTACTAACCACCGGCCCTGGCTATCTCGTTACGCACACCTGCTCCCCATCATTACGCACACCTGGACTTCATTATCACCTTTATTACTCTCCCTTTATTTAGCCCTCTATAGCCTAAGTCATTAGGCAGTATTGTTTCCATTCACGTTCTGTACGCATCTCATGTTTTGTTTCTATGCATTCTTTATTATTAAACTCACCTTCTGCACCTGCTTCCTGACTCCCGGCGTATACGTAACAGTGCTCAACCAAAGTGAGACGAGGTAGAACCCAAAAATGAGTATCAGCATTGACAACAAATAGGCCCTACTCTCGCTCACAATTTAAAAACGTTATTCTTTATTTATACAACTATTAAGGATGCACACACACACACATACACACACATGCACGCACACACAGGGGTGAGGGTGGGGGTGAAACGCTCAGTCAATGGGGCTGTACTGGGAGTAGTGAGGGCTCTTGTGGCAGTAACAGTTATAGAGGCAGCACTGGTTGTAGCTCTGGTACTAGTAGTAGTGGTCCTAGTAGTGGTTCTAGATGTAGTAGTAGTACTAGTAGGCCTAACAGTAGTAGTAGTGGTAGTAGTGGGGGCTGTAGTGGTAGTAGAGGGGGCTGTAGTGGTAGTAGTGGGGGCTGTAGTGGTAGTAGTGGGGGCTGGAGTGGGGGCTATAGTGGTAGTAGTGGGGGCTGTAGTGGTAGTAGTGGGGGCTGTAGTGGTAGTAGTGGGGGCTGTAGTGGTAGTAGTGGGGGCTGTAGTGGTAGTAGTGGGGGCTATAGTGGTAGTAGTGGGGGCTGTAGTGGTAGTAAAGGGGGCTGTAGTGGTAGTAGTGGGGGCTGTAGTGGTAGTAGTGGGGGCTATAGTGGTAGTAGTGGGGGCTGTAGTGGTAGTAGTGGGGGCTGTAGTGGTAGTAGTGGGGGCTGTAGTGGTAGTAGAGGGGGCTGTAGTGGTAGTAGTGGGGGCTGTAGTGGTAGTAGTGGGGGCTGTAGTGGTAGTAGTGGGGGCTGTAGTGGTAGTAGTGGGGGCTGTAGTGGTAGTAGAGGGGGCTGTAGTGGTAGTAGTGGGGGCTGTAGTGGTAGTAGTGGGGGCTGTAGTGGTAGTAGTGGGGGCTGTAGTGGTAGTAGAGGGGGCTGGAGTGGTAGTAGAGGGGGCTGGAGTGGTAGTAGAGGGGGCTGTAGTGGTAGTAGTGGGGGCTGGAGTGGTAGTAGTGGGGGCTGTAGTGGTAGTAGTGGTGGCTGTAGTGGTAGTAGAGGGGTCAGGTATGAGAGAAGCTTTCTCTCTTCTCCGGAATCATTAAATCATGCTAGTGGACTTCATATACCTGATCTGACAGTGAAGGATGAACGTGTCAGAGTAAATGCCAAATCTAGTGTCTTACCACAGAGGCCTCTAGTAGGAGCAGACGTATTGGAGGGGGCGGTGTATTGCAGCACCATGATGCCAGTGCTGTGGTACCACTGTATGTTGACTCCTCCAGGAGTGGTGATCAGGTACATACTGCCTGTGTCCTCTACTGACAGGGTCTGGCGGGAGAACGGCAGCCGTGCCTTGATGTGGTTCACTGACACCTGGACACGCATACACACGCACGCACGCACGCACGCACACACACACACACACACACACACACACACACACACACACACACACACACACACAGAGCGAGATAGCATGAGCAGTGTTGTACAGTGTGGTAAAAGTTCAGTATGTGACCAGTTGTCAGTCGGTTGCGGTCAGTGATGGTCACCTTGCGGTCTAGGCGGTTGATGATAATCCTGTAGGAGGGAGTGGTGATGTTCAACTTCTTAAAACACAGACCTGACGTCCCACCACTAGGGCTCTGAGGGAGGGAGAGAGTCCCTGATAAGAATTAACACTATCATCATCACATACATGATGATTAGATGTTAAAGGGAAACTTACCGGTCGTCTGATGGAGTTGACGCTCTAAATAGGAATCAAGACAAAGCCAACAGATCAAAGTCAGGAGCTTATAGAATCCCATAAAAGTTTATAACACCTCTATAATAACGTATAGTACTATAACACTACAACAACTACAGCAGCATATAACAGCTTCTAACAGTGTGTGTACCTGGCTGGTGGGGCATTTGTCCACTGTTCCTATGATTTTCTCTCTGGGCAGGTAGACCAGGATGTAGGAGCCATTATCATACAGCGCCACATTGTTACCGTCAAACGTTATCACACGCAGGTCTGACATCACCGAGCAGCGACCTAACACACACACACACAAACACGGAAACACACACAACGCGGATAGGCAAACACACACAAACAAGGCATGTCTGTATAATGTGTGTGTGCTGGTGTGTATGTAAAGTGTGTTTGTTTGTGTACGTACAGTAGTGTGTGTGTGTTCTTACAGGGGCACTGCCAAAGCGGGCAGCAGGGGTCGGTGTTGGTGAGGACAGCCATGCCCAGCAGAGAGCAGCGAGGAGGAGTGGTGTTGTACCGACAGTGGAGGGAGGAGTTATGGAGGAGCAGCTCCCCATTAAAACAGATCAGCTCTGCACACTCATCTACACGGTAGGAGTATGGGGGCTGCAGAGAGAGAGAAAGAGAGAGAGAGAGAGAGATCAATACATTCAGCTACTGGCAGAGGGAGTTCTCCAGGGCTGCATGCTCGGCCCTCTTATCTTCTCCATACACACCGTCTCTCACTGATTGGCTCTTACTGTGCAGCGGGCGGTGGGCAGGAGGAAGGGGGGCAGCACTGTTGGCATGCTGACTGCCTCAGGTGTAGGAGAGAAATCTGGACTGGTGGCTGTTTCTGTGGTTATGAACTCCGTCGTCTCTGGGGGTGATGTCGACATGGTAACGGAGGAGGTGTCATATACAACTGGAAATACAGAGGAGGTCTCTGTGGGTGTAGCAACAGGACGATGTGTTTGTGTGGTGGTTGGGGTGTGGGTAGAGGGAGAGAGAGGGGGTGGAGAGGAGGTGGGGAAGGAGGTAGTGGCTGGGGGAGAGATAGAAGACTGGGTGGAAGGCTGGGGAGGGGTAGCAGGAGGAGGTGGTGGAGTGGTGGAGTCGGTCACTGCCAGGCTGGGAGGAGTAGGGGAGGCTACTGTAGTGACCTCTGCAGGGGTCAAGGTTGGGGTCGTGACCCCAGTGGTGCTGCTAGTAGCGGTGGGTGAGGGAGAGGGGGAGACAGAGGTAAAGACTGCAGGTGAAGTGGTGTGCTCGGTCACAGTGGGGGTGGAGGGTGAGGGCAGAGAAGGGAGAGGAGGCGAGGGGGAGTGAGGAGGGGTGAAGGTGGGGGTGAAACGCTCTGTCAATGGGGCTGTACTGGGAGTAGTGAGGGCTCTTGTGGCAGTAACAGTTATAGAGGCAGCACTGGTTGTAGCGCTGGTACTAGTAGTAGTGGTCCTAGTAGTGGTTCTAGATGTAGTAGTAGTACTAGTAGGCCTAACAGTAGTAGTAGTGGTAGTAGAGGGGGCTGTAGTGGTAGTAGTGGGGGCTGGAGTGGGGGCTGTAGTGGTAGTAGTGGGGGCTGTAGTGGTAGTAGTGGGGGCTGTAGTGGTAGTAGTGGGGGCTGGAGTGGTAGTAGTGGGGGCTATAGTGGTAGTAGTGGGGGCTGTAGTGGTAGTAGTGGGGGCTGTAGTGGTAGTAGTGGGGGCTGTAGTGGTAGTAGTGGGGGCTGGAGTGGTAGTAGTGGGGGCTGGAGTGGTAGTAGTGGGGGCTGTAGTGGTAGTAGTGGGGGCTATAGTGGTAGTAGTGGGGGCTATAGTGGTAGTAGTGGGGGCTGTAGTGGTAGTAGTGGGGGCTGTAGTGGTAGTAGAGGGGGCTGTACTACTAGTAGTAGTTGGGGTGGTGGTTGTTCGGTTTACGAAGGCGTAGGGTGTAGGAGTGGGAGGAAGGGACACACCTGAGGACAGACACACAGACATAAATTACTTTAACACCTATTTACCTGTACTTTAACAGATCCTGGGGTGATACACACTCTACTCACAGTCCTCTGTGTAGACACATCTCCTGGTGACCTCATCAAGAACCATGTTTTGGGGGCAGTGAGGGAAACAGCCCTCCACCCTGCCAGACACACATAGACATGGACAAACGTTCAAAGAGCGTATTAAACATTCTCTTACATTTACATTTTTTAAAACATTTTAAGTCATTTAGCAGACACTCTTATCCAGAGTTAGTGAGTGCATACATTTTCATACTGGCCCCCCGTGGGAAACGAACCCACAACCCTGGCGTTGCAAGCGCCATGCTCTACCAACTGAGCTACAGGGGACAAGCCAGTGTATAACGGTGTTGTAAGCATGTGTTTCTAAGTGTGCATTTGTAAGCGTGTGCGAGGTGTGGTCTTACGGGGGCAGGAAGTGGCAGCGTGTGGCGGCGGGGTCGCTGCATGTACGAACACACGGACTGGCACATGCATGGTAGCGCCACTCACACATCATACGGTACGGGATCACAAAACTGCTCTCTGTAATACACACATACACAATGTCAACATACACACAATAACCACAGAAAAAGAAACTGTGTGTGTGTGTTCGTACCGCTAGTTTCTGTTTATCACAGAGGGCGTTTTAATCTATCTGTTCTCTTCTACCTTTCCTGGCTGGCAAAGTACCAGGATGTTGTCTCTGGTTTTGAATTTGAAAACTGAATCTGAATGCATCTGAGAAGTTGAATATACACTTTATAAACAAAAGTATGTGGACACCCCTTCAAATTAGTAGATTCGGCTATTTCAGCCACACCTGTTCCTGACAGGTGGATAAAATCGAGCACACAGCCATGCAATCTCTATAGACAAACATTGGCAGTAGAAAGGCCTTACAGAAGAGCTCAGTGACTTTTAATGTGGCACCGTCATAGGATGCCACCTTTCCAACAAGTCAGTTACTCAAATTTCTGCCCTGTTCGAGTCGCCCCAGTCAACTGTAAGTGCTGTTATTGTGAAGTGGAAACGTCTAGGAGCAACAACGGCTCAGCCGCAAAGTGGTAGGCCACTCAAGCTCACAGAACAAGACCGCCGAATGCTGAAGAGCGTAGCGCGTAAAAATCATCTGTCCTCGGTTGCAACACTCACTACCGAGTTCCTCTGGAAGCAACGTCAGCACAAGAACTGTTCGTCAGGGCGCTTCATGAAATGGGTTTCCATGGCCGAGCAGCCGCACACAAGCCTAAGATCACCATGCGCAATGCCAAGCGTCGGCTGGAGTGGTGTAAAGCTCACCGCCATTGGACTCTGAAGCAGTGGAAACGCATTCTCTGGAGTGATGAATCACGCTTCACCTTCTGGCAGTCCGACTGACAAATCTGGGTTTGGCGGATGCCAGGAGAACTCTACCTGCCCAAATGCATAGTGCCAACTGTAAAGTTTGGTGGAGGAGGAATAATGGTCTGGGGCTGTTTATCATGGTTCGGGCTAGGCCTCTTAGTTCCAGTGAAGGGAAATCTTAACGCTACAGCATACAATAACATTCTAGACGATTATGTGCTTCCAACTTTGTGGCAACAGTTTGGGGAAGGACCTTTTCCTGTTTCAGCATGACAATGCCCCAGTGCACAAAGCGAACATTGCTGCGGGGACTTGCTTCCATTCAATGTTCCAACATCTAGTGAAAAGCCTTCCCAGAAGAGTGGAGGCTGTTATAGCAGCAAAGAGGGGACCAACTCCATATTAATGCCCATGATTTTTGGAATTAGATGTTCGACGAGCAGGTGTCCACATACTTTTGGTCATATAGTGTATGAAACGTTGGTAAACTTGAAATTATAGTTTGTAAACTTGATACATAGACAATGAATGCAATATCTACCATAAAAAACTTAAATATTGAATTTGAATAATGAATTAAATTGACATTTTAAAACTGAATGCAATATTAATAAAATTTGGTTTCAAATCATGAAATACAAGTTCAACTTATGAATTCAATGATTCAATTTGTGCATTACAAATTCCCAAATATTACATTCAAATTCAATACCCTAATACATATTCAAAATTATGGAATTCAAATTCAATTTCTGTTGGCACTGACATTGCGCCATATGTGTGTGTATTATGACTTTGTATTTCTGTCTAACCCTCCAGGGTAAAGGAGCTGCTGGTCTTGAAGTTGTCCGAGTTGTCGTATCTCTGAGCGTGTGCAGACGTGCGTGTCAGAGTCAGGAACACTCCCGGCTGGCCAATCAGCTCGAAGGAGGTGCGGCCAGGCAGGAACAGCCCCTGGTGCTGTAGGAAGGAAGCCCTGCGGCCAAACTCCTCCCCTCTTGTCCACTGCTCCAACCGCAGCCCAGCACGTCCCGAAACAACCAGGAAGTAGTTAGGACGCTCCGCTGACTCCAGAGAGATCACCGGGAGACCTGTAATACAGAGTTTAACATACCGGTGAAGCTCACGAGAAATGTGTTTATTTGTGTGTGTGTGAGTGTGTGAGACTCACGTGATGTGCGGTCCTTCTGTAGTCCTGCTGTGATCATGAAGTTGAAGAGCAGTCCAGGTGGAGGCAGCCCACCTACAAACTCCCTAACTAGAGGAAACACTGACCCACTGGTTCTGTTCACACCGAAGACTGTAGCATTAAATACAGCACTGACCACTGAGAATGGACCTTCACCTAACTCTACAGAGAGAAAGAGAAAGGGGTGGAGGTTATTCTCTATGTTGAGTGAATATATTAGGATGCTTAGTGCATATACCTGTGTGTTTGTATTTTTGTGTAAGTTGAAAAGTGTTCCTTTGTGAGTAATTTTTGGTTAGGTTCAAACATACCTTGGTTGTAGTATTCACAGTCATAGGCTGAAAGAGAAGAGAAGTACAAACATTTATAGACATACAAATCCACATAGGCACAATATGTGATAGTACTTACGTAGCCAACCCATAATATGTAGATCAGGCTGGGAGAGAGAGATCATGGTATTGTGTAAGAGTGTATGTGTGAATATCTGGGGTCATTTGATGATGGATAGAAAGAATGGTGCAGGAGATATGGAGCAGTGGGGGGACTCTATAGTTCTGTGTACTGGTGTGTGTGTGTGTGTGTGTGTGTGTGTGTGTGTGTGTGTGTGTATGTATGTATGTGTGTGTGTGTATAGGAGCATTGAGTGACACAGCATCTATGCTGACAGTGAAAGCAGGAGGAATTGGGTCTGAGGAACAGACCCACATTATGTGTGTGTGTACTCACGACAGACAGAGGGGTTTCTCCAGACCACAGTAACACCGTGTTGACAGCAGGTGTGTGCGTAGGCAGCGATGGACGTACACAGACACTCACAGTCTCCGCCCCGATTACAGTTACACGTGTCGGTCAAGCAGTTCATATAGAACCATGAGACATCCACCTACACACACACACACACACACACATCCACACACACAAACATATGTTACAGGTGTACGTCATGTCTACCTGGGGGGGGGGGGGGGGGGGTCGGGGATAGATGTGGGTTAGGGGTGTGTGTGAATAATGTAGCTAGGAATGAGTGACGTGTGTGTGTGTGTGTGTGTGTGTGTGTGTGTGTGTGTGTGTGTGTGTGTGTGTGTGTGTGTGTGTGTGTGTGTGTGTGTGTGTGTGTGCGTGTGTGTGTTCTAGGGGGGTGAATAGTTATCATTAATTCAGAGTGGGTCTGAGTGATGGTACATCAGAACAAAGAGATGTGAGTTGAACTCTGGAACACAGGGATCAGATTAGACATTAGAGACTTTATAATACAATGTGTATGGAGGGGTGTGTGTATGTATGTGCGTGCGTGCATGTGTGCGTTCTTTGTCACAACAATAAACTGTAATATTTTAATAACAAATCTTCACATACATTATCTTACTTAAACAAACTGTCAACTTAAAGGTAGACTCAGCGAAATGATCTTGCCACGAGCCGCACGAGATGCAAGACTTCTCTCTCACAAGGTCACACACAATATAATTTACAATATAATGTGCTAGGGTGCACTTGTTTTCAGTTTTCCCCTCCCCACTTAGACCACACCATTTTAATTGAAAACCCAGAAATGAAATTGTTACCCAGAAATTATTTGATATTGAGATAAAATCAGCTGCATTGGGCCTTTAAAGAATCCTGGGGAGAACATTGCTTAAGCAAGACAACCTCCATGTTGGGTCATTCTGAAGTCAGTCAAACCTACACCACCATCTGTTGGCCACTCAGAAAATAACACAACATAACCTCAACAACCCACCACCTAAAGCTGAACACCTTTAACCTTAACCCCCTGTGTGTGTGTGTGTGTCTCCTGAGAGTAGAGCTTATTTACTGAGATCAGATAAGAATCGTTCCCGTACCCCCCTTTCCTGTGTGTGTGTGTGTGTGTGTGTGTGTGTGTACTCACCACGTTGTGACAGGGGGTAAAGACGTCACTGTAGAGTAGAGCACACTCTCTCTTGGCGTACGGCTGTCTACCCAGGTCTCCTTCACACGCTCTCTTCACCACATAGTCACTCTCACACTGACACACACACACAGAGACAAAGTGAGTGGGTGGGTGGGTGCCTGATTTCTCCTAAATCTCACAGGTAGACCCTAGAGAGGCAGGAGACTGGGTTGAGGGGTTGAAGCGAGGTGGCAGGGGGGATAGGGCTAGGGGTGGGGAAATAGGCCTATTTCCACTTCCGAACTAAAGACAAAGCACAGGGAAATATTCTCCAAGTTCCCCCTTTTAGCCTGCCATTACTCTGGGAATAATATTTGATCTTTAGAGAAAATAAATGGTAAATTGGCTGTGAATCGGTTTAGTTGGCAGGTTGGCATTTATTGCCATGACTCATGTACTGGATGCAGCTCTGCAGAGTGGTCACTAGCTGGCACAGCCACAAACTCATAAAATCAGATTTTAAACCTTACCCTAACCTTAACCCTAACCTTAACCACACTGCTAACCCTAATGCATAAAGGCCTTTGCAGACTGTACGTCAGATTCAGTCTTTTACGATTATCACATCACACTGTGCAATGTTACCAAATTAAAATATTGATATAAACCTGGCCAGATTGTACGATTTGCTTCCGTTCTGTCACATTCTGCTATTAGCTTGCGAGGCTACGTCAGCCGACATAGGCTACGTCAACTGCAGCAGTGTATTTGATCTGCGCATGTGCCGGCCCCATCAGCGCAAGCCTCTCTCTATAAGCCAGTGAAGTATGCATCTTAGAAAAAGTTCACACATACAAACGTTATACAGTGCCTTCTGAAAGTATTCAGACCCCTTGACTTTTTCCACATTTTGTTACGTTACAGCCGTATTCTAAAATGGATGAAATATTTTTTTTTCCTCAGCTCAATTTTGAGTCTCATAGCAAAGGGTCTGAATACTTATGTAAATAACATATTTCTGTTTTTCATTTTCAATAAATTTGCTAAACATTCTAAAAACCTGTGGTATTGTGTGTAGATTGCTGAGAAAAAAAAATAAAAAATTCATCCATTTTAGAATAAGGCTGTAATGTAACAAAATGTGGAAAAAGTCAAGGGGTCTGAATACTTTTCGAAGGCACTGTATGTCCAAACTCTGAATCAAATAGGCTTTCCCAAAAAAACATAGAACATTTATTTTGATTGCCGATTTTGGGCATTTGTCAAAATCCCATCAGCTAGCCTGATTTCAGATGTCACGTAAACTAGGTTATTAGGGAAATCGTTCTTCTTGCAAAGCATGTAAACTTTTAAATCAAACTATTATATTAATCTGACTATTCACAATAATCTTCACCGGGATCGGCTCGTAACACCAGCCACACTACACGATTAGGGCAAAACAATTTTGACACTGCCAGAACTTTGTCAGCCTACGACTGAACGTACTGGTATTTAATAGGCAGACCTAGATCCTGTCACACTGAACGAGCCAAGACGTCCCACAATCATTTACAACCTAAGAATTTGCCCATGACATGGACATTTTGTCTGGGACTCCTTGACAATAAACGTCAACCTGTGTTTAGTTCACTATAGTTATCATTCCAAGTGGGAGTGAAGAGCAGATGGCTCGGAGTTTGTGTACCTGTCCCAGGGCCCAGCTGTCTCCGAAGCCCTGAGCATTGCTGACCTCCATGTGGCTGGATGTGGTCATGTCATTCACTGTCACACTGTCAAAGTTCCCACACAGACCACTCAGGAGACCCTAGACAGACAGGGGGAAGAGAAGGATAGATAGAGGGAGAGAGAGGAAGGTGAGAAAGATAAATAAGGATTAGGGGTGGGGGTGGGTGGATGTGTGAGTGCTGACCTTCCAATGTGGTCCAGCTCAGCTCTGATAAGAGAGAGAGACAGTGTGTGTGTGTGTGTGTGTGTGTGTGTGTGAGCAGTATACAGTCTTATAGTATCCTTACCTTCCAATGTGGTCCAACTCTGATGTGTACGGTCGTCTTGCGGTCCCAGAGAACGGTTAGGTCCTGGTAGGGGAAGTGGATTGCTGTGTAGTAGCCTGCTGACCACAGCTCAAATTCTGACCCCTTACCTACCACACTGGATGGACTCTGGAGGAGTAGAGGTTACAACACACACACACCGGGCCAGACCCGGGTTAGGACACACCAGGATTGTCACATGTACCAAACCTTCTTCATTGAACTCTAATCATTTGTCTGTTAGAGCAGCCATCAGATCAGTCAGTTTCATGTTCTAAATTAGGCTCTGTACTGCCCACCAAGGAGGGCTCATGGACTTCAATGAGTGTGTATGTGTGTGTGTGTGGTACACACAGGCTGCCCTGAGTTGTCGTTGAAGTAGATCTTAGTGAATCCAACATGGATGACCAGCATCTTCATACAGACAATCCCACTCTCATAACAATCCTTATTCTGGGACACGATGGACACCTCACCATCTATACTCTGGAGAGAGAGAGAGAGAGAGAAGAAAGAGAGAGAGAGGAGAAAGAGAGAGAGAGAGAGAAAGAGAGAGAGAGAGAAGAGAGAGCGATAGAGAGAGAAGAGGAGAGAGACTAGCTCCTTCTCTCAGATGAAGTGAGGATGCGAGATAGCCGATCTCTCCCTCCGATGACAGACGAGAAGCAAAGATCGAGTATTCAGAGTCATAGCTAATATCTAGAGAGATCTCCGGAGATATATAGATAGAGAGATGTAAAATATGAACCATCGCCTACATAGATGACCTGGAGAAGAGTCCCCTCAAGCAAGCTGGATCGCCTTGGGGCTCTGTTCACAAACACAAACAGAGCCCTAGGACAGCGACACAATTAGACCCAACCAAATCCTGAAAAAACTAAATGATAATTACTTGACACATTGGAAAGAATTAACAAAACAACTGAGCAAACTAAAACGCTATTTGGCCCTAAACAGAGAGTACACTGTGGCAGAATACCTGACCACTGTGACTGACCCAAAACTAAGGAAAGCTTTGACTATGTACGGACTCAGTGAGCATAGCCTTGCTTTTGAGAGAGGCCGCCGTAGGCAGACCTGGCTGTCAAGAGAAGACATGCTATGTGCACACTGCCCACAAAATGAGGTGGAAACTGAGCTGCACTTCCTAATCTCCTGCCAAATATATAACCATATTACAGACTCATATTTCCCTCAGATTACACAGACCCACAAAGAATTCGAAAACAAATCCAATTCCAAATTAAACTCCCATATCTATTGGGTGAAATACCACAGTGTGCCATCACAGCAGCAAGATTTGTGACCTGTTTCCACAAGAAAAGGTCAACCAGTGAAGAACAAACACCATTGTAAATACAACCCATATTTATGTTTATTTATTTTACCTTTTGTACTTTAACTATTTGCACATCGTTACAACACTGCATATAGAGATAATATGACCCTTAAAATGTCTTTATTCTTTTGGAACTTTTGTGAGTGTAATGTTTACTGTTCATTTTTTCTTGTTTATTTCACTTTTCTTTATTATCTATTTGACTTGCTTGGCAATGTAAACATATGTTTCCCATACCAATAAAGCTCTTTGAATTTAATTGAAATTGAGAGAGTGAGACAGAGAGAGAGAGAGAGAGAGAACAGTCTGCAGCACCCGGCCTCACCCTACTAGAATCTGAAGTCAAATGTCTTCTGTTTGCTGACGATCTGGTGCTTCTGTCACCAACCAAGGAGGGCCTACAGCAGCACCTAGATCTTCTGCACAGATTCTGTCAGACCTGGGCCCTGACAGTAAATCTCAGTAAGACAAAAATAATGGTGTTCCAAAAAAGGTCCAGTTGCCAGGACCACAAATACAAATTCCATCTAGACACCGTTGCCCTAGAGCACACAAAAAACTATACATACCTCGGCCTAAACATCAGCGCCACAGGTAACTTCCACAAAGCTGTGAACGATCTGAGAGACAAGGCAAGAAGGGCCTTCTATGCCATCAAAAGGAACATAAAATTTGACATACCAATTAGGATCTGGCTAAAAATACTTGAATCAGTTATAGAACCCATTGCCCTTTATGGTTCTGAGGTCTGGGGTCCGCTCACCAACCAAGAATTCACAAAATGGGACAAACACCAAATTGAGACTCTGCATGCAGAATTCTGCAAAAACAACCTCCGTGTACAACGTAAAACACCAAATAATGCATGCAGAGCAGAATTAGGCCAATACCCCGCTAATTATCAAAATCCAGAAAAGAGCCGTTAAATTCTATAACCACTTAAAAGGAAGCGATTCCCAAACCTTCCATAACAAAGCCATCACCTACAGAGAGATGAACTTGGAGAAGAGTCCCCTAAGTAAGCTTGTCCTTGGGCTCTGTTCACAAACACAAACAGACCCCACACAGCCCCAGGATAACAACAACAACAACACAACTAGACCCAACCAAATCATGAGAAAACAAAAAGAGAATTACTTGACACATTGGAAAGAACAAACAAAAAAACAGAGCAAACTAGAATGCTATTTGGCCCTAAACAGAGAGTACACAGTGGCAGAATACCTGACCACTGTGACTGACCCAAACTTAAGGAAAGCTTTGACTATGTACAGACTCAGTGAGCATAGCCTTGCTATTGAGAAAGGCCGCCGTAGGCAGACCTGGCTCTCAAGAGAAGACAGGCTATGTGCACACTGCCCACAAAATGAGGTGGAAACTGAGCTGCACTTCCTAACCTCCTGCCAAATGTATGACCATATTAGAGACACATATTTCCCTCAGATTACAGCGATCCACAAAGAATTCGAAAACAAACCCAATTTTGATAAACTCCCTTATCTACTGGGTGAAAAACCACAGTGTGCCATCACAGCTGCAAGATTTGTGACCTGTTGCCACAAGAAAAGGGCAACCAGTGAAGAACAAACACCATTGTAAATACAACCCATATTTATGTTTATTTATTTTCCCATTTGTACTTTAACTATTTGCACATTGTTACAAACACTGTATATATACATAATATGACATTTGAAATGTCTTTATTCTTTTGAAACTTCTGAGTGTAATGTTTACTGTTAATATTTATTGTTTATTTCACTTTTGTTTACTATCTACTTCACTTGCTTTGGCAATGTTAACACACGTTTCCCATGCCAATAAAGCCCTTAAATTGAAATTGAATTGAAATTGAATTGAGAGAGAGAGAGAGAGAGAGAGAGAGAGAGAGAGAGAGAGAGAGAGAGAGAGAGAGAGAGAGAGAGACAGAGACAGAGACAGAGAGAGAGAGAGAGAGAGAGAGAGAGAGAGAGAGAGAGAGAGAGAGACAGAGACAGAGACAGAGACAGAGACAGAGACAGAGACAGAGACAGAGAGAGACAGAGACAGAGAGAGAGTGAGACAGAGACAGAGAGAGAGTGAGACAGAGACAGAGACAGAGAGAGACAGAGACAGAGACAGAGAGAGAGTGAGACAGAGACAGAGAGAGAGTGAGACAGAGACAGAGACAGAGACAGAGACAGAGAGAGACAGAGACAGAGAGAGAGTGAGACAGAGAGAGAGAGAGAGACAGAGACAGAGACAGAGACAGAGAGAGAGAGAGAGAGTGAGACAGAGAGAGAGAGAGAGAGAGAGAGAGAGAGAGAGAGAGAGAGAGAGAGACAGAGACAGAGACAGAGACAGAGACAGAGACAGAGACAGAGAGAAAGAGAGAGAGAGACAGCAGTCCTTATTATAGACATTTCAACTACACTCTCGGGAGAGAGAAAGAGTACTGTGTGTGTGTGTGGTGTGCAGGTCTGTCCTTAGGGCTGGTAGAGTGCATTCCTGGTGCTCAGTGTTCCTTTACTGAGAGCCTCTGACATTTACAGTAACAGCATCACGTTCAGGGTCGCGGTCAGGAGGGAGCAACACACTGAACAATGCAGATAGAAATGTCATGGATAGAGCTGACATATCTTAGTCTACCTGTCAGTTAGATGCATATCTGTTCTGCACTATACACTGAGTGTACAAAACGTTAGGAACACCTACCCTTTCCATGACAGACTGACCAGGTGAATCCAGGTCAAAGCTATGATCCCTTATTGAAGTCACTTGTTAAATCCACTTCAGTGTAGATGAAGGGGAGGAGACAGGTTAAATAAGTATTTTTAAACCTTGAGACAATTGAGACATTGATTGTGTATGTGTTCCATTCAGAGGGTGAATGGGCAAGACAAAATATTTAAGTGCCTTTGAACGGGGTATGGTTGTAGGTTTGAACTGCAACGCTACTGCGTTTTTCACACTCAACAGTTTCCCGTGTGTATCAAGAATGGTCCACCACCCAAAGGACATCCAGCCAACTTGGCACAACTGTGGCAAGCATTGGAATCAACATGGGCCAGCATCCCTGTGGAACGCTTTCGACACCTTGTAGAGTTCATGCCCCGACGAATGGAGGCTATTCTGAGGGCAAAAGGGGGTGCAACTCAATTTTAGGAAGGTGTTCCTAATTTTTTGTACACTCTGTGTATATTCCGCTGTTTCAGGAGGGATCGGGTGACTAGTGGTCACCCCAGCTCATAGGCCTGGGTAACAGAATAGATCAAACAGAACAGGGAAATGTGTGATCAGAATCAGAAGGAACACCCAATATGGCCGCCGGTCCAGCCACCACAGAACCTTGATTAGAACTGGAATGTCCCAAAGTCCTGCTCATTCTAATTCTATATCCCTGGGAGTCTGCCGCAAACAGGCCTCTCTTTGTGTTACTCAGGTGTGTGTGTGTGTGTGTTGCTACAGCTTTGCTTACCTCAGTCGCTCTAATTAAAAATTGTTCCCAGATTAGAGAAACTCCTTGGATCCCCTTTCCCTGATCCAATCTGCCTACACACACACACACACACACACACACACACGCGCCAGCATGCAGGCACGCAGGCACGCACGCACCTTGAGTAGGTAGACCTGACAGTCCGAGTGGTAGTCATACTCCAGGCCGTCGAAGGTGTGGTAGTGTCTGTCGCTGTAGACCGTACACACAGCCGGACACGGACTGTGACTACAGTTAAAATACCCCCGGTGACACACACTAGAGAGAGACGCAAAGACAAGAATAGAGAGAGCGATAGAAAGGGAGAGAGAGAGAGGGGAGATAGACAGAGAGAGAAAGGGGAGATAAACAGAGAGGGAGAGAGGGAGATAGACAGAGAGAGAGAGAGAGAGAGAGAGAGAGAGAGAGAGAGAGAGAGAGAGAGAGAGCAAGAGAGGGAGATAGACAGAGAGGGAGAGAGAGAGAGGGAGAGGGAGATAGACAGGGAGAGAGAGGGAGATAGACCAGAGAGAGTAAGAGAGGAAGAGAGAGTAGCATAGAAGTAGAGTCTAGAGAATGAGAGTGGATGACAGCAGAGAGAGAGATGATATAGAGAGATATAAGATAGTTAGGAGATAGAGATGGAAATTGCGATATAGACAGGATATAGAGAGGTGAGATATAGACAGGGGACGAGAGGAGATATAGATATGGAGTATATACAGAGTCTAGAGGATATCAGCTCGTCGAAGAGATACTCGAGTATAGTGTGTGTTCAGCAGCGGTAGAGATGAGAGTATAGACGAAGCAAGAGAGAGACTATCGACTAATCGATAGATAGCTTAATTGAACGCTCTATCTAAGTACAACTACTCTAAGAATAGTCTCCTAGAAGTATAAGCTTCGATAAGCACATTCCGACTGTATACCTCCATCCTATGCTCCCTCCTCTCCCTGGCTTCATATTCTCTCCCTATTTACTATTCTTCTTCTTTTGTCTGCTCATCTCCTCCTAATTCTCTCATCGCTCTGTAATTATTAGATATATATATACATATTTTTTATTAGGGATATATACAGAAGAGATATATGATTTAGATATATATATTGATAGATAGATATGTAGACAAATGAGTCAGACAGTAAATGAACACAATTGAGCATTTAAAAAACATTTAGGAAACTAGTGCTCTCTTTCATTTATTTTAACAGCATTTAACAATCCTGAGGGAGGTACGGGAGGGTCGTACCATCTGTAACAGGGAGTGTTGACGGTCTCTCCTGGCAGATACTCAAGGCCCAACCAGGCACAGGGACAGTTCTCTGGGTAGTAACATTCCCCACGATGCAGCACCAGCCTACACACATACACACACAGGCATGGGCCAACAACAGTCAGGGCTCAAGCATGTGTGTGTTTATAAAGTTAACGTATCTTGTTGGGAAATAATGAATGACATTTTTCTGTGTTAAAAAGTTAAACACACACACAGACACACACACACACACATCCTACCCAGGTGGGCAGACACAGCCAGGTATACAGGGCGTGGTGGGAGGACAGGTGAGATTCAACATCAGGTTCCGACAGGTGAGCTCACAGGCCACACCTCCTCGCCAAGCCGCCGCACCCTGGACCCCGTGGGGCTCAGAGCAGCTGTGGAACACCTTTCCCTCTGGACACTGGCCTCGCTCTGGCTCTGAAACAGACAGAGGTCATTCAGAAACAGAGCTTTGTTGTTAGATGGATGGAGAAAGGAGAATAAGAAAGGAATGGAGAGAGGGGAATAAGAGAGGGATGGTTTACCTCTTTCTTCTGGTACACACTCCATCCTTCCATTCCTGCACAGGCTGTTGGAGGGAGACAGAAAGGGAGAAAGAGGAGAAAAAGTTACCAATCAGGGGGATTGTTCGAAGGAGTTTATGTCTGTGAAGTGAACTCTCTATAACCTCTGTGTGTGTGTATGAGAGTGTGTGCGTGTGCATGCGTGCTTGTGTGTGTGTGTGTGTGTGTGTAGGATGCTTACCAAGGGCCTGCGGCGCTGAAGGACACCTCCCCTGGCTGGGACACCCCTTCAATAGAGTAACAATGACACTGAGACCTGAGAGAAGAGAGGAGGGGAAAGGACGGATGGAAGGCTGAAGTTATATGTGTTTGTATGTGTTTATATCTTTTCTCAACACTTTTTTTGTTGTTGTTGTTTTATTTTTACTTTTTTGTTTAAAATAAATGCACTGTTGGTTAAGGGCTGTAAGTAAGCATTTCACTGTAATGTCTGCACCTGTTGTATTCGGCGCATGTGACCAATAAAATTTGATTTGATTTGATTTGACAACGATGATTATGTGTTTTTTGATCAAGATGATGGTGTATGTTAGGCGATAATGTGTAGGGGGGGCGAAGTCTTACGGCTGAACGCAGCGTTGTCGTACGTCGTCGTAGTAACTGCCCTCGGAGCAGCCACACCCCTCAGCACAGTCATCATGGTTACAGGTCTCTCCACTGGATAGGGAGCGGCAGGACCCGCCGCAGGACGACACACAGGACTGGTACAGCATCCCACCCATACACACCATCCCTACACACACACCCACCCACACACACACACACACACACACACACACATACACCCACACACACACACATCTGAGTTACACACCTCCATCACACCCCCAAGACACACCACCATTAGATATACTCCGACACCCCACTCCCCACACAGACTCACCACACTCTGAGACGTGGGCCCTGTAGTTGATAGTAACATGGTGTTTGGAGCAGAGATAGGCATAGTGGGCCAGGGCCGTACACAGACAGGCGTTACCACAGCGACAGGCCTGGTAGCGACACTGCTGCTGGTACACACTGGGACTGACGTAACCATGGCATGGAGAGAACACACTGCCCAACAACACCTCACACAGAGAGGAATAGAACACTGGAAAACACACACAGCTTTTGAGACAATATGTGGAGAGATATTACAAGAAAACAAACGGAGGTCAGGTTAGAGTTTTGAAGTCAGGGGTCAGAGGTTACCGTTGTGCTGATTCATCTCACAGGGGTCAATGATGGGCTGGTTGATGGGGGCGGAGCAAGCAGATGAGACTCTCCAGGAGTTAGCATGGAGCTGGGGAGTCCCTTCAATCATCCCTGCTGGAGACCTACACACACACACAGGCCAGACAACGTTTCATGAATATTCTTACTGTAATACTATTTTACTCAACTTCCTCAGACAAAAATGCCAAAAACCTTTCCTCCAAAGTACATCTACTGATAGGAGTCAGAAGTCAGCATGAGAGGAAGTAGTGTTTCCTTACAGGAAGTCGTCCCGCAGGTTTCCGTTGAAGGTTCCACAAAGGCCCAGCGTGTTGCTGCGCCATTGGCTGTCCAGCTGTAGATAGACACGCCCACCACGCCAGTCATATTGCAGACGCAGTCCAAGCAACGTCCTCAGCTGGACGAACACCGACGTTAACCTCCGCACCTCAACTACATCTACACACATATACACACATTAAGTCAGACGTAAAATAAGGTGTTCCGCAAGGCTGTGTGTTGGGACCGTTATTGTTCTCTCTAGACATGCTACCTAATGGTACTCATATCCGTATCCTTATTAGTATTATTAAAAGGAATCAATTAAGTTTATTGTATCATACCATCGGCGTAGGGCAAGGCAGGGGCGGGATTGACCCCTATAAGCACTTCCCCCTCTCGGGTCAGAGTCACCTGGTGACTAACATCTTCATCCAGAACCACCGTCACTGACTGGATACACACCTGCTGCTGGGCCTACACACACACACGACTGTGTCAGGCTGTATATGTGTGTTACCTCTGTGACATGGTATACTGCAGTGTGTGTGTGTGTGTGTTACCTTTGTGCAGGTGGTATACTGCAGGGTAACAGTGAATCTGCTGCCGCTGCGGCTCTTGGCCAAGACGTACTGACACGCCCCTGGCTGCAGGAACATCCTCCCATCGAACGATGTCACAAACACATCACCTACTACTGAACACTCCGCTGCGAGAGAGAGAGAGAGAGAGAGAGAGAGAGAGAGAGAGAGAGAGAGAGAGAGAGTGTGACATTATATCGTCCCACTTATGAGCTTTGATAATATACTGTATGACATGGTCAGCTCACCTGTACAGTTGTTGTCCGTGCAGTTCCACACTCCCCCCATACACACACTGTAAACACACCACAGGTTAGTGACACACACGCATACACACACACACAAGTTACACACACACTCACCAGACGCTGCAGCCCTGCTCCAGAGTGTGTCCCTGTGTGTATGAGGTGCCGTGGTAGACACAAGGACACTGAGACACAGCGATACAAGTCCCATTCTGCAGAATCAACCCTGAGACAGACGGACACACAGAGGGTGAGAGGGAGTTTGTGTGCGTTTGTGTGTGTGTGTGTGTCCGTGTGTGTATGAGTGTGTGAGTGTACCATCAGGGCAGTAGCATCCATCCAGACAGTGCAGGTTAGTTCCCAGACACTCCTTATCAAAGGTACAGGTGGGAGGGCAGCAGCTGATACAGTCTCTATGGACAAAACTCTCCTCACAGCCATCATCTATGGAACAGTCAAATGAAAGACTTACCGTAGTAATATGTTAGCTCAAGGTTAGTTAAAGGTTTGGGTTATGTTAGTGTAACGTTACTGACTGCAGGATGGGAAGCTATCTCTCCACTCTCGTACAGGGTATCCTACATGGCTGCAGGCTCGTGTGTACTCCACCAGCACACGGCAAAACGTCTCCTCATCATCTGACCTAATTACAGCAGACAACAGTCAGACTACACTCTGATAACACCCACACAACACCCAAACAACAATCAGACTACACCCAGAAAACAACCAGATAACCTCCAGACTACAGTCAGACAACAGTCAGAGAATAGCCAGACAACAGTCATAATACACCCAGATAACCCCCAGACAACAGCCAGACAACACTCAAATAACACCCAGACAACAGTCAGACAACACCCAGACAACAGTCAGACAACACCCAGACAACATTCAGACTACACCCAGATAACAGTCAGACTACACCCAGATAACAGTCAGACTACACCCAGATAACCCCCAGGCAACAGCCAGACAACCCCCAGGCAACAGCCAGACAACACTCAGATAACCCCCAGACTACAGTCAGACATCAGTCAGAGAATAGCCAGACAACACGGAGGAATCAAAAACGTTCTGACTTACAGGACACATGCACACTCTGGAGTGACTTACACACAGAGGTCAGAGACACAGCTAGCCACGTAGGGGTTTGGGTCGATGTTCTCATGACAGGACAGGAAGGGGAAGAACAGGAGAGCACTGCACTTCTCTATGGCATCCTACACACACACACACACACACACACACACACACACACACACACACACACACACACACACACACACACACACACACACACACACACACACACACACACATTTATACATCAACATATTACAATCAAACACAGAAATAAGCACACATAACACAGGCACATAGACGAGCCAGGTTCAAGCAACAGGGTCACAGACAGACAGACAGAGACAGGTCTTACGTCCATGTCAGACTCAGAGCGGCAGGGTCCAGTGAAATCTATGTCCACCAGAGGGCAGCCTCTCTCATGGGGCAGATCGACTGACCAGCTGTTAGCAAACACTGCTGGCTCCTCTGTCTGCACGCCTACACACAGGCACGCACACAAACGAAACACGTACACACACGGTTAGGGATCCTCCCTCCACATGCCTGAATATAATCCAATATAATAGAACAACTGTTTATTAGAAGAACTACTCATTCCTCTTCACACCTCTCCTCTGCATTCCTCTGCTCCATCTTTTCTCATTTACATTTACGTCATTTAGCAGACACTCTTATACAGAACAATTTACAGGAGCAATTAGGGTTACGTGCCTTGCTCAGCTCTGGGATTCGAACCAGCGACCTTTCGGTTACTGGCCGAATGCTCTTAACCACTAGGCAACCTGCTGCCCATTTCTCCTCTCTACTCACTCCTGTCCTCTCTCCTCTCCTCTCCTCTCCTCTCCTCTCCTCTCCTCTCCTCTCCTCTCCTCTCCTCTCCTCTCCTCTCCTCTCCTCTCCTCTCCTCTCCTCTCCTCACCTCTCCTCTCCTCTCCTCTCCTCTCCTCTCCTCTCCTCTCCTCTCCTCTCTAGGTCATGTTACAGGACTAGGGCCTCCCCCTCAGTAATAATAACTATAATGGTTCCCTGTGGTGCTGCGAGGAGAAAGGTTGTGATGGAGGGATGATTGGGTGCTGAGAGAGATGATAAGAGATGGATGGAGGAGGGAGGATAAGAGACTAGTCGGACCCGTCTGTCCAGTCTTACAGTGGGCTTTGATGTGGTGTGTGAGTGTGTGTCTCACCGCGGGCTGTGGTGAGGTCATCGTTGGGCAGGTTGTTGTAGTTCCCACAAAGGCCACAGGGGGTGCCGTGGTGCTGTTCAGACATCTTCAGATATACTCCACTACCCCCGTCCCACGCCAGAGAGAAGCCAAACACACTCTTCACCAGCAGGTAGTCAGCCAGACGCTCTATAAACACACCTCCTATTGTCTGGGGCAGGCTCAGCCTACACACAGACACACATGGATTTTTTTTAAAGATGCTTTATTGTCACATACACCAGATAGGTTAAGTGAAATGTGTTGTTTTACAGGTTCAGTCATAGTAGTACGGCGCCCCTGGAGAAAATGAGGGTTAAGTGCCTGGCTCATTGGCACATCGACAGTTTTTTCACCTTGTCAGGTCGGATATTCAAACCAGCGACCTTTCAGTTACTGGCCCAACGCTCTAACCGCTAGGCTACCTGCCACCCTACACACATTACTACAGAGCATACACACACATTACAAAACACAAACATTCGTCCATAGCCCACCAACCTGCGACCCCCCTGGTGGACTTGGTATCCAGCGATGTGGATCTCCTCCTCGTTGGGGAAGAAGAGACTGAGAGCCCTGGGACAGGAGTACACACTTCCCTCACACACACGGCTGTTATGGACCCACACAGTGTACTGTGGTGTGGCTGAGTGGCAGTCCTGGGCCAGTATGTAGGAGCAGGTTCCAGGGTAGTAGAAGTAGCTGCCATCAAACGTCTCATAATGGTGCTGACCCCAAGACCTGCAGATCCCATCTCTGTCCTGGCCCTGGTTAGGAACTACACACACACACACACACACACACACTAAGTTTTGCATGCTTATCTCAACTCTGAATCAGCTTGAAGGTGCACTGGTGTGTCTTTGTGTGTAGGAGGCATGGGGGGGTTGGTTACCCACAGTGCCAGCTCACTAAAAGCCGCTCAGTTACAGAAAACCCCTGTCTCTGTACTATTCCCAGACCTGCCAAATAGACCCACTGTCTAACAGTGGTGGTGCTGTGGTGGTACTTTCCCCAGGTAGGTATTTGATTAACAGGAACAGTGTGTAACAGAGTTCATCCCTGTCTGCCTCACCAGGGACGAGAACCCAACAGCAACACTTCATATTACCATCGTGCCACCAAACCCACCAAAACCAACCACAGTTGGGCGAGGAAAACACTAATTAAATTCTCAGGCATGCTACTAGTATTGAGGCTGTACTAGACCCAGCTCTGATGTAGTCTACAGATACTCAACCCTAATCCTCCAGACTTAATCACACACTATGTGGACTAGGGGGTGTTTGTGTGTGTGTGTGGTTATTAATTGAATGCAGCTTATTAACAATTGTTGAATGATATGTTGGTCTAACCCTCATGTAGACACACACACAGACACACAAACACACACACACATGAAAATGAGACATTCATTGCGGATTGTGTGTGTTACTCACTGATCTGGCAGCGGTCTCCGAGGGCCTGGAACTGTGCACAGTCACACCTCCCCCCCTCCTGACACCAGCCCCCATTCAGACAGCCGCAGTACTCTGGTAAAACACACACAATCTTTCCTCAATCTTCTCTGGAAAGACTTTTGAGATGAATCCATAGAAAAAAAATATTCTTTACAAGACAGACTGCTTTTTAGTCCTTTCTGTAGCCGTGTTGACCCAACCTCACCCTGTGAGTGTGTGAGTGTGTGAGTGTGTGTGTGTGTGTGTGTGTGTGTGTGTGTGTACCTGAGGAGGCATCACGGGCGGTGTAATTGTGTAGAACACTGCGAGGGAGAGTTGCTTCAGAGAGAAGAGGACTGAATGTCTGGAGAGTAGAGAGCACTGATGATCACACACACATACATACAAACCTACCAGTCCCAGTTTGTGAATCTGTCACACTGTGTGTATAGTGTGTGTGTAGTATGTGTGTATCCAATGATGTAGTGATAAATAAATTGGTGGGTAAACTCCGATCGCCGGTTGCGGTGAAAAAAGTAACAATCTCTGTACTTTCAATGCATTTCACTGCAAAAGGTGGGTTACGACCGTGCAAAACAAAATGTGGCGTTTACGTGCGTTTACCCTCCACTACCCTGCTGTGTATCTCTAGCCCTGTTTGTGTGTGTGTGTTTTTGTAGTTGCCCCAGTGTGTGTGTGTGTCCTACAAAGGCGTCTTTGTGCTGGTCAGGGTGTTGAGTGTGTGCCCTGACCTCTGCTTCTCTTAGGTGTAGTGTACCTACCTCCTCCCCTAGGAGATCCCGTTTCCTCCGCAGTGCATTAGCCCTCCTGCACACACACACACACACACACACACACACACACACACACACGGAGAGAAACGTACATTATGAGGAGAAACATGTCAACTGAAGTTAGGTGCACTTTAGACCACCTGAATACAGCCAAACACACACACGCATCTGCTTGGCCATGACACTGAATGAATGAATCCCCAGAGAGGATGAGTTTTTCTATTTTCCTTTCATCCTCTCACCTCTGTAGTCTTCCGTCTGTCTCTGTCAGTTGGCTCTGAGCTTCTGAGCACAAGAAAAAGCCATCAATAAAACATCACACACACTATCACAATGTATAGGCTCACTTTACATATCACAACACATAACAAATATCATATCTACAACAACAGACATCTAATCTTCAAAATGCAGAACCATTGCTGCCTATCAGTAGAATTAGTATTGCACATATTTAAACAGCATAAATAAGACACCCCAGAAGGATTTACACAACTACAGTGTCTGTTTATAATGTGATTAATGTCACTAAAGAGGGACAAATAAATAAATGTCATTCAGGAACAGTACAATTATCCGATATTTCATAATGTTTAAATGTCAAAAAACTTTTTTAATCAAGGTCACGGATATAGCGCGGGTCCTAAATTGCTGGTCTCTCTGAAATTAGGTTAAAATGTCAAAAGCGCTGAAACGCTGGATAAATGACTCAACTGTAAAAATTATGAAATAAAATGGTTTAGGGATTATGCGCATGTGTCGTTGGGAAACTCACCTTGTGCTGTCAGCAGCTGGAGGACTGAATACCACGAAAGAAGAACAAGTTTGACTCTCCGCGGACCGTTCATCTCAGAGCTCATCCACCGAGAGGTTAACGGAACATTTTACAGGACAGACTGGGGAGTAGTGATCTCTGTTCGTTACCGAGCTTCCCGCGGTTTACATCCACGCGCACAGAGGAAGTTGAGCGAGCCCCTCAGATGGATGATGGTGCACCTGCGCGCAGGTGTCGGGTGTGTGTGTGTGCATGGTTTTTGCACCAAACAGGTGACATCAAACCAACTGAAAAGACAGAAATACCGCAACTTTCTGTGCGCAGGAAAATAGTAGCCTAGCTGAAGTAGATAGATTCTCTGAGTATAGGACATTACAAATGCAACAACTGAAGACTGTAGGCAAACTTTAAATAAAAAATGTAGTCGTAGTTTAAAGGCACAATCTGTATGATTTTCAGCAATTCAACTTGAATTAAATTATAAATGAGATAGCGTGTGTGCGTATGTGTGCGTGTGCGCACGTGTGTGTGTGTGTGTAAGACTTTGACTCCCTCTGCTGGCCAGTGATGTGTATCTCAGGGATGGCCAGGGCTGTAGCTCAGTTGGTAGAGCATGGCGTTTGCAACGCCAGGGTTGTGGGTTCGATTCCCAGTATGAAAAAAAGTAAAAAATAATGTATGCATTCACTAACTGTAAGTCGCTCTGGATAAGAGCGTCTGCTAAATGACTAAAAATGTAAAATGTATCTGATGTGAGTGAAGATTTACACATGAGCAACAATCTTACAATGTTTAATAACGTAGTATAATGTACATGTTTCATAGTATTTTCATGATATATACACTACCGTTCAAAAGTTTGGGGTCACTTAGAAATGTCTGTGTTTTCGAAAGAAAATCATTTTTTTTGTCCATTAAAATAACATCAAATTGATCAGAACTACAATGTAGACATTGTTAATGTTGTAAATGGCCATTGTAGCTGGAAACGGCTGATTTTTAATGGAATATCTACATAGGCTTACAGAGGCACATTATCAGCAACCATCAGTCCTGTGTTCCAATGGCACGTTGTGTTTGCTAATCCAAGTTTATCATTTTAAAAGGCTAATTGATCATTAGAAAACCCTTTTACAATTATGTTAGCACAGCTGAAAACTGTTGTGCTGATTAAAGAAGCAATAAAACAGGCCTTCTTGAGACTAGTTGAGTATCTGGAGCATCAGCAATTGTGGGTTCGATTACAGGCTCAAAATGGCCACAAACAAAGAACTTTCTTCTGAAACTCGTCAGTCTATTCTTGTTCTGAGAAATTAAGGCTATTCCATGCGAGAAATTGCCAAGAAACTGAAGATCTTGTACAACACTGTGTACTACTCCCTTCATAGAACAGCTCAAACTGGCTCTAACCAGAATAGAAAGAGGAGTGGGAGACCCCGGTACATCTATTCTGGTTAGAGCCAGTTTGCTTTGTTCTATAAAGGGAGTAGTACACAGCGTTGTACGAGATCTTCAGTTTCTTGGCAATTTCTCGCATGGAATAGCCTTCATTTCTCAGAACAAGAATAGACTGACGAGTTTCAGAAGAAAGTTCTTTGTTTCTGGCCATTTTGAGCCTGTAATTGAACCCACAATTGCTGATGCTCCAGATACTCAACTAGTCTCAAGAAGGCCAGTTTTATTGCTTCTTTAATCAACACAACAATTTTCAGCTGTGGTAACATAATTGCAAAATAATTTTCTAATGATCAATTAGCCTTTTAAAATGATAAACTTGGATTAGCAAACACAACGTGCCATTGGAACACAGGACTGATGGTTGCTGATAATGGGCATATGTATGCCTATGTAGATATTCCATAAAAAATCTGCCGTTTCCAGCTACAATAGCCATTTACAACATTAACTATGTCTACACTGTATTTCTGACCAATTTGATGTTATTTTAATGGACAAAAAATTGCTTTTCTTTCGAAAACAAGGACATTTCTAAGTGACCCCAAACTTTTGAATGGTAGTGTACATGTTAATGTCCTAGATAGTAATGTGTCTTAAATACTTTACACAGTAGAGGAGGGGGTTTGGGGTGGTGGGGTCATGAGTGGTGGATGGGTATCGGGGGTTTGGGAGTTTATAAGTGGGTAGGAGTGGAAGGGCAAAGTCAGTATCCATCAATATAAAGTAGTCTTCTACAGAGAGCTGCCTAGTGATGTGACATCATTTCCTGGCGGCCAGCTCAGCGTTGACTTCATCCTCTGCTTTGAGGCCGTGCCATTGGGCAATGGGCCGGCGGGGGTTGGCCAGCATGTCTGACCAATGACGGAGCTCTGTGCCGCTGCTGGCTCCGCCTAGAAAAACCTTCCCGATGGCATCATTCTTCCCAATCTTATCATAGTCCAACACTGTCACTGCTACCTGCACCTTCTACACACACACAAACACAGACACAAACCTATGTTCGAAGGGCCACTCAATGAGGAAGGATTCATTGTAATAAGGGATGAGAGAGAGTGTGTGTGTTTATGTGTGTTTGTGTGTGGTGAGAGAGCGTACCTGTATCTGTTCGAAGGGCACCTCGAAGCTGAAGGACTCATTGTAGTAAGGGTTGAGAGTGTTCTTCTTGATGCTGGTTTTCTTCTTCTTCAGTCTCTTTCCATTTTGCAGCAGGTGTATCTTTACATAGGGGTCTGACAGAGGAGACAGAGATCAGCCTAACACACACACACACTCTCTCGCACACACACACACACCCACATCCACATCTACGCCCCTCAGCTCACCTGATAGTCCTCCTACATCCATCTTCTTTAGGTTTTTGGCCTCGAGGACGACGATGCTTAGTTTCCCTGCTGTAGGAACGTACCTCAGAGACAGACAGATATCACCCAGCCGCTCTGACTGGAGAGAAAGAGAAAGGGGAGTGAGGAAGAGAGAGGTATGGGAGGAGGAGTACTGACATTTTTGTTTTGTTCTTCTTTCTGTGAATTCTTTTTTTAATTTTGTGGAGTTAAATGCCTTGTAACTTTGTGACTTTCTTTCCTATATATATATATCTTCCTTCTCTCTTTTTCACTATCTATCTATCCTCCTAGTTTTTCCATTATCACCTCCTCTTTCTCTGCCTTCTTCAGCTCCCGCCACTCCTGTGTCATCCGACTGAAGTCCAGGCTGCTCATTGGTACTCGTAGTGCTCCAATAGCGTCGTGTTTAGAGAAACGGTCAAAGTCATACACTGTTATCACCAGAGTCCTGCCTCCCAGTTCACTGTACGGTACCTACACACACACATACAGTATGCACACACACACACACACGCACACACACACACACACACACACACACACACACACACACACACACACACACACACACACACACACACACATACACAAACACTTTGTTGAATGTGGGGTCAGGGTTAGGGTTTAGAGGTCGGAGGTGGGGAATTAGGTGTACCTTGAAGGTGAAAGTCTCATTGAAGGTTGGGTTGAGTGTCTTCCTGTGGACTTTAGTCTCAAACTTCCTCTTCTTGTCTGGCAGAAGGTAGAGTTTAACATACGGGTCTGAACTTCCCCCCACATCCATGGCAGGGAGATCACAGGCCTGCAGGATACCTACTACCATCTACAGACAGGGAAGGGGGGTAGAGGGTAGGGAGAGGAGAGGGTGAGGAAAGAGGGAGGAAAAAGAGAGAGGGAGAGGGAGAGAGAATTTACCCACAGCTATATTATGTCTCTGATGGAGTGATTTGTTGTTACTCAGACTGGTTAATCTGCTGATCCACAGGACCTTGGTTAGCTGAATCAGATGTGTTAGAGCAGGGATTGAAACAAGGAGTCCTCACCGTGTTCTCTGTGAAGTTGTAGTCCATTGAGAACTCCAGTCTGCCCAACTTCACTTCCTCTTTAGGCTCCTCCTCCTCCCTGCCAGTCAATCCGGTCTCTGTGTCACCCTCATCCTTCAGGGGCTACAGGACACACACCCACACGCACACACACACACACACACACACATAGGCGAAACCTAATACACAGTAACCAGCAGAGACATACACAGCCTAAATTGTATTAAGCTGCGCTTTTTATTAAACGTTTCTGTGCAGCACTCCACAGGGAGTTGATACTCTGCAATGGGTGTGTGTGTATGTACAGTTGAAGTCGGAAGTTTACATACACCTCAGCCAAATACATTTAAACTCTGTTTTTCACAATTCCTGACATTTAATCCTAGTAAAAAAATACCTGTTTTAGGTCAGTTAGGATCACCACTTTATTTTAAGAATGTGAAATGTCAGAATAATAGTAGAGAGAATGATTTATTTCAGGTTTTATTTATTTCATCACATTCCCAGTGGGTCAGAAGTTTACATACACTCAATTTGTATTTGGTAGCATTGCCTTTCAATTGTTTAACTTGGGTCAAACGTTTCGGGTAGCCTTCCACAAACTTCCCACAATAAGTTGGGTGAATTTTGGCTCATTCCTCCTGACAGAGCTGGTGTAACTGAGTCAGGTTTGTACGCCTCCTTGCTCGCACACACTTTTTCAGTTCTGCCCACACATTTTCTATAGGATTGAGGTCAGGTCTTTGTGATGGCCACTCCAATACCTTGACTTTGTTGTCCTTAAGCCAATTTGCCACAACTTTGGAAGTATGCTTGGGATCATTGTCAATTTGGAAGACCCATTTGCGACCAAGTTTTAACTTCCTGACTGATGTGTTGAGATGTTGCTTCAATATATCCACCTAATTTTCCTTCCTCATGATGCCATCTATTTTGTGAAGTGCACCAGTCCCTCCTGCAGCAAAGCACCACCACAGCATGATGCTGCCACCCACGTGCTTCACGGTTGGGATGGTGTTCTTCAGCTTGCAAGTGACCCCCCTTTTCCTCCAAACATAACGATGGTCATTATGGCCAAACAGTTCTATTTTTGTTTAATCAGACCAGAGGACATTTCTCCAAAAAGTACAATCTTTGTCCCCATGTGCAGTTGCAAACCGTAGTCTGGCTTTTTTATGGCGGTTTTGGAGCAGTGGCTTCTTCCTTGCTGAGCGGCCTTTCAGGTTATGTCGATATAGGACTCGTTTTACTGTGGATATAGATACTTTTGTACCTGTTTCCTCCAGCATCTTCACAAGGTCCTTTGCTGTTGTTCTGGGACTGATTTGCACTTTTCGCACCAAAGTACGTTAATCTCTAGGAGACAGAACACGTCTCCTTCTTGCGTACTATTGTTTGTACAGATGAACGTGGTACCTTCAGGCATTTGGAAATTGCTCCCAAGGATGAACCAGACTTGTGGAGGTCTTGTGAGAGGTGATTTGAAGGAGTCAGGCGCAGAAGGGTAAATCACAGAATACAGAGTTTATTCCGTAGTACAAAATTACGCTGGATAGCGTCAACCAGTCCAGTGCGCAAAACAGGCGCACAGGGAAAATATACCCCGGCAATACAAAGTACACGTAGCTCAACCGAGCTACTCTCTCCTCACATTAAACAATCACCCACAAGGACAAGGGGGGCAGAGGGAACACTGATACATGTACTAATGAGGGGATATGAACCAGGTGTGTGTAATAGACAAGACAAAACAAATGGAATGATGAGATATAGAGTGGCAGTGGTTAGAAGGCCGGTGACAACGAACGCCGAAGCCTGCCCGAACAAGGAGAGGAGGCAGCTTCGGAGGAAGTCGTGACAGGTCTACAAATTTTTTTCTGAGGTCTTGGCTGATTTATTTTGATTTTCCCATGATGTCAAGCAAAGAGGCACTGAGTTTGAAGGTAGGCCTTGAAATACATCCACAAGTACACCTCCAATTGACTCAAATGATGTCAATTAGCCTATCAGAAGCTTCTAAAGCCATTACATTATTTTCTGGAATTTTCCAAGCTGTTTAAAGGCACAGTCAACTTAGTGTATGTAAACTTCTGACCCACTGGAATTGTGATACAGTGAATTATAAGTGAAATAATCTGTCTGTAAACAATTGTTGGAAACATTACTTGTGTCATGCACAAAGTAGATGTCCTAACCGACTTGCCAAAACAATAGTTTGTTAACAAGACATTTGTGGAGTGGTTGAAAATCGAGTTTTAATGACCTAAGTGTATGTAAACTTCCGACTTCAACTGTATACCTCAGAGTTGCCTCCCTCCAGCTCAGTGTCCATGTTCAAGCCATTCGTGCCCTTCTTCTCCTTCTCCTTCTCTGTGTCCTTGTCTTTCTTCTTCAGACATTTCCTCCACACACACAAACTGCATGACAACACCAGACACACACTCACCATGCATAGAGCACCTACAGCCCATGAGGGCACTGCACAAACGCGCACACGCACACACACACACACACACACTCACACACAAAGACACACACACACACACGGTTAATAATACATTAATACCAAGTGTTTTTATAACACCGGCGGGTTTCACTAGCTTGTGAGAGTATTTTATTTCTCAGTTGAGTACTTATGCACTTCAACTGCACTTTAACTTGGTTCTAAAAATGAACTTAGTGCTACGAAGGCTCTAGAAACCCACCCCGGATCGGTTGTTACTCACTGTGGAGGGAGTGCAACTCGCTCATAAACTTTGTGGGGGTGTGGCCTCCAGGCCCAGGTTCTGGGGTTGCTGAGGCATTGGGGTTGATAAACAGGTGTGAGGGGCTGGGCTGTGCCGGGGTGGCCCTACGACTACTTGTCATCACCTAGAGAGAGAAAGACACAGAGAGAAGGAACGTTTTTTTTTTAAATGTCACTTTTTGCATCCAAACTAGCTCTGTCTTTAAATTTGAGTGAGTGGTTAGATTTCCCAGCCCCATCCTTCAGAATGCCAAACCAAGCAGCAGGGCAGGCTGTTTAAATGACAGATTGTTCATTTAACAGTAACTCACAGTCCCGCAACATTCCAGAGATCTGGACAAATATGACTGTAACTTTTCAAATAGACAGTACAGTACTTACTACAAAACTAGTGTGGAATACTGCAGCTGGCAGGTACATTGCATGCATCTGTTATGCACACTATTTTATTGCAGATCCATATTAATGATCAGCACCAAGTTTTGCGAAACATTCAACCGTATGTGTTATAGAGTGGTTATAGTGTGTGTGTGTGTGTGTGTGTGTGTGTGTGTGTGTGTGTGGATGTACACGTGCATGTGTCAGATGGCCTCTTGTGTTTCTGCTGGTCTGGCACTAAGGCCAGCTGTACATAAGATACACAACCCTGTCCCCTGTCAAACCTGCTGACAACACAACACATGGGGGGAGGAGAGGTGTGGAGGAAGAGAGGGGGACGGAGAAAGGGCATCATGAGGGTGTGATCTCTCTGGAGAGAGGAGGTGAGAATATTTTTAGTCCAGAGTAGGGACGGTCCCAATTCACTTCCTACCCCTTCACCTTGGTCCTAACCCTTCTATGTTTTTTAGATCTGAGTCTGGGAAACTGACTGACTCTTAACCATCATCCATGTTAGCTGCAAATATTCCATGAAGACAGTCTACCATTCTACAACTAGTGTAAAACAACACATTTCACAATACCTATCCGGTATATGTGTCAATAAACCATTAAAAAAAAAATGAAATACGCAATGACATTGATATCATCAGGTCATCACTAGAGACACAACTACACTAATCACTTGTGAATCAGGAAGAAAATCACTGATTTATTTTGAATGTTTTGCTTGTCTTCAGCACGCTATGCTACTAATAGGTACATACTACAAGTGCATGACAAGTCACTTCCAGTGTATTGTCTTAGAACTAGTTTGTTCCATCATGGCTAAACTCTGTCACTCACTCTAACCCACTCTCTTAGGTCCTCAATGTAAATAAGAAGTTAGACCTGCCTGATTAAATAAAGAGTTAAGCTAAAGATAACATACTGTATATGGTTCTGATATCCCCCCATTTACAACTAAAACTGGAAATGACATTAACCCTGATCCACAGTCAAATATCTAACCCTAACCCAACATTGTAACGCTATATCTATCCCTAAACCAACATTGTAACCCTGACCGACTGTCATCTAACAGTAACCCAACCACACCCGTCACCTCAACCACCATCACTGACCACACCCTGGGAGAGAAAGAGAGAGATAGAAAGAGTGAGGCGAGAGGGAGTCTTACCTTTGTGTGTGTGTGTCCTGGCCTTGGTTCTGTCTGGCTGCAGGGTGGAGAGAGGTATGACTCTCAGGTACACACACAAAAAGAAAGGGAGAGAGAGGAGGAGGAGAGGGGAGGAGATTACAGCATGAAGAGAGGAGAAGGAAAGAGGAGGGGAGGTGAGGTGGGGTGGCAGCTTCTTGTTGTTTATTTTAACCTTCTGTTCATTCAGCGGAGTCTCTGAGACAAGGAGCACAGGTATGACAGGAGAGAGAGAGAGAGAGAGAGAGAGAATTGAGAGAGAGAGAGAGAGAGAGAGAGAGAGAGAGAGAGAGAGAGAGAGAGAGAGAGAGAGAGAGAGAGAGAGAGAGAGAGAGAGAGAGAGAGAGAGAGAGAGAGAGAGAGAAAGAGAGAGAGAGAGATTGAGAGAGAGAGAGAGAGAGAGAGAGAGAGAAAGGGGCAGGAGAGAGAGGGCATCTCTGGTTGGCTGTGTGAACGTGTGTGTATTAGTATGGGGATATGTATGCTCTGTCCGATGGGGTGGGTCCCAGGGGGTTGAGTCCCTCTGATCTAAGCACTGCCCCTTGTGACCTCTGCTGCGCCCTTACAGGTCACCTTCGCTGGGACATGGATGAATATTCATGGCTTGGTGACAGGGCTTTTTATAGGCTCGTTAGCATACTGAGACTTCAGCAGGAGACAGCATCTACATTCCACCTGGATGACTGGTATGCCTGTGTGTGATTGTGCATTCATATACTACATGTGCATTACTGTTTGTATGTGTGATTGCACATTTACAGTTGAAGTCGGAAGTTTACATACAGTGAGGGAAAAAAGTATTTGATCCCCTGCTGATTTTGTACGTTTGCCCACTGACAAAGAAATTATCAGTCTATGATTTTAATGGTAGGTTTATTTGAACAGTGAGAGATAGAATAACAACAAAAAAATCGAGAAAAAACGCATGTCAAAAATGTTATAAATTGATTTGCATTTTAATGAGGGAAATAAATATTTGACCCCCTCTCAATCAGAAAGATTTCTGGCTCCCAGGTGTCTTTTATACAGGTAACGAGCTGAGATTAGGAGCACACACTTAAAGGGAGTGCTCCTAATCTCAGTTTGTTACCTGTATAAAAGAAACCTGTCCACAGAAGCAATCAATCAATCAGATTCCAAACTCTCCACCATGGCCAAGACCAAAAAGCTCTCCAGGGATGTTAGGGACAAGATTGTAGACCTACACAAGGCTGGAATGGGCTACAAGACCATCGCCAAGCAGCTTGGTGAGAAGGTGACAACAGTTGGTGTGATTATTCGCAAATGGAAGAAACACAAAATAACTGTCAATCTCCCTCGGCCTGGGGCTCCATGCAAGATCTCACCTCGTGGAGTTGCAATGATCATGAGAACGGTGAGGAATCAGCCCAGAACTACACGGGAGGATCTTGTCAATGATCTCAAGGCAGCTGGGACCATAGTCACCAAGAAAACAATTGGTAACACACTACGCCGTGAAGGACTGAAATCCTGCAGCGCCCGCAAGGTCCCCCTGCTCAAGAAAGCACATATACATGACCGTCTGAAGTTTGCCAATGAACATCTGAATGATTCAGAGGAGAACTGGGTGAAAGTGTTGTGGTCAGATGAGACCAAAATAGAGTTCTTTGGCATCAACTCAACTCGCCGTGTTTGGAGGAAGAGGAATGCTGCCTATGACCCCAAGAACACCATCCCCACCGTCAAACATGGAGGTGGAAACATTATGCTTTGGGGGTGTTTTTCTGCTAAGGGGACAGGACAACTTCACCGCATCAAAGGGACGATGGACGGGGCCATGTACCGTCAAATCTTGGGTGAGAACCTCCTTCCCTCAGCCAGGGCATTGAAAATGGGTCGTGGATGGGTATTCCAGCATGACAATGACCCAAAACACACGGCCAAGGCAACAAAGGAGTGGCTCAAGAAGAAGCACATTAAGGTCCTGGAGTTGCCTAGCCAGTCTCCAGACCTTAATCCCATAGAAAATCTGTGGAGGGAGCTGAAGGTTCGAGTTGCCAAACGTCAGCCTCGAAACCTTAATGACTTGGAGAAGATCTGCAAAGAGGAGTGGGACAAAATCCCTCCTGAGATGTGTGCAAACCTGGTGGCCAACTACAAGAAACGTCTGACCTCTGTGATTGCCAACAAGGGTTTTGCCACCAAGTACTAAGTCATGTTTTGCAGAGGGGTCAAATACTTATTTCCCTCATTAAAATGCAAATCAATTGATAAAAATTTTGACATGCGTTTTTCTGGATTTTTGTTTTGTTTTTCTGTCTCTCACTGTTCAAATAAACCTACAATTAAAATTATAGACTGATCATTTCTTTGTCAGTGGGCAAACGTACAAAATCAGCAGGGGATCAAATACTTTTTCCCCCTCACTGTACACTTAGGTTGGAGTCATTAAAACTCATTTTTCAACCACTCCACAAATTTCTTGTTAACAAACTATCGTTTTGGCAAGTCGGTTTGGACATCTACTGCATGACACAAGTAATTTTTCAAACAATTGTTTACAGACATATTATTTCACTTATAATTCACTGTATCACAATTCCAGTGGGTCAGAAGTTTACATACACTAAGTTGACTGTGCCTTTAAACAGCTTGGAAAATTCTAGAAAATGATGTCATGGCTTTAGGCTGCTAGGCTAATTGACATCATTTGAGTCAATTGGAGGTGTACCTGTGGATGTATTTCAAGGCCTACCTTCAAACTCAGTGACTCTTTGCTTGACATCATGGGAAAATCAAAAGAAATCAGCCAAGACCTCCACAAGTCTGGTTCATCCTTGGGAGCAATTTCCGAACGCCTGAAGGTACCACGTTCATCTGTACAAACAATAGTTTGCAAGTATAAACACCATGGGACCACGCAGCCATCATACCGCTCAGGAAGGAGACGCGTTCTGTCTCCTAGAGATGAACGTACTTTGGTGCGAAAAGTGCAAATCAATCCCAGAACAACAGCAAAGGACCTTGTGAAGATGCTGGAGGAAACAGGTACAAAAGTATCTATATCCACAGTAAAATGAGTCCTATATCGACATAACCTGAAAGGCCGCTCAGCAAGGAAGAAGCCACTGCTCCAAAACCACCATAAAAAAGCCAGACTACGGTTTCCAACTGCACATGGGGACAAAGATCGTACTTTTTGGAGAAATGTCCTCTGGTCTGATGAAACAAAAATATAACTGTTTGGCCATAATGATCATCGTTATGTTTGGAGGAAAAAGGGGGGTCACTAGCAAGCCGAAGAACACCATCCCAACCATGAAGCACGGGGAGTGGCAGCATCATGCTGTGGGGGTGCTTTGCTGCAGGAGGGACTGGTGCACTTCACAAAATAGATGGCATCATGAGGAAGGAAAATTAGGTGGATATATTGAAGCAACATCTCAAGACATCAGTCAGGAAGTTAAAGCTTGGTCGCAAATGGGTCTTCCAAATGGACAATGACCCCAAGCATACTTCCAAAGTTGTGGCAAAATGGCTTAAGGACAACAAAGTCAAGGTATTGGAGTGGCCATCACAAAGCCCTGACCTCAATCCTATAGAACATTTGTGGGCAGAACTGAAAAGGCGTGTGTGAGCAAGGAGGCCTACAAACCTGACTCCAGCTCTGTCAGGAGGAATGGGCCAAAATTCACCCAACTTATTGTGGGAAGCTTGTGGAAGGCTATCCGAAACGTTTGACCCAAGTTAAACAATTTAAAGGCAATGCTACCAAATACTAATTGAGTGTATGTAAACTTCTGACCCACTGAGAATGTGATGAAAGAAATTAAAGCTGAAATAAATCATTCTCTCTACTATTATTCTGACGTTTCACATTCTTAAAATAAAGTGGTGATCCTAACTGACCTAAGACAGGGAATTTTTACTAGGATTAAATGTCAGGAATTGTGAAAAACTGAGTTTAAATGTATTTGGCTAAGGTGTATGTAAACTTCCGACTTCAACTGTATATCCTGCAAACCGGTATGCATTGTGTGTGTGCTTCCAGAGGTCGATACTCTATGTGTAGATGCTGCTGCCTGAATTAGAACTGTAGTATGCGGTTTCTGCGGCAACGCTGGTATCAAGTTCCGGCCCCACCCAGTTCACCTTGACCAGAGATAGAGATGCACCAATTCACACACATACATTAACACACACACACATACGCGCAGAGCTCAGACCTCTGTGAAGCAGTATGACTTCAACCCGGTTGTTCACCTTGCTGAATATTCTGTGGACAGAGCCGTTGTATTGATCTGTGTTGATGAATGTGTCCTAGGTGGAGATATTCAGTGATTGGAGGTGCTATATGAGGGTCATTAGTTTAGATAAGATTCTAAGATTCCCCAACCCTTGGTTGTCACATATGTGGTCAAATTGATTTTATTCAGATTGGTCTAAAACTATCTGATAAGGGTAACATAGCACCCTTAGAATTAGAATGATTAATTATACTTCTATAAAACCACCACAACACATCGATACTCCACAACATCCTTTTAATCAGAGAAACACTTCTCCACCTGATTGAGAACAGCACACACTGTCAACAACGCAACAGGTGACAACGTATGTACAGGGTAGTCACTACCGATAGGCATGGAGCTGCATTGATCATGTAAAAAACAGCTACATCATATACATTATTATAACATTATATTATATTTTATAAGACAATGGAAACACTTTACTAGAACCCTCCGTCATAAGTGCTACATAACACTGTTGAAAACCTGACATAAACAGTCCTACTTTTGGTGTCAGTTTATCAAAAATGACTGTTCATGACATCTGTTATGTCATTATTATGTAGCCTTGATGGCAGAGGGTTTAAGGGAAGTTGAACCAGATCAATAACAGTGGTTATAGAGGGTCATACAGTAAGTATGAGGTGTTTTAGAGTTATTATACAGTCTGACAAGTATAACTAAGGAAGAAGCCTGAGCAGGGGAAATCTTACTTTAATAAGCCTCCAAACATGTGTAGTATGTGTGTGTAGTGTGTCGCACAGAAGAGAATTCAGCAGATTACAAAATAAAGCAAAAGGAGGCACTCAGTAAAGGGACACACACAGAAAGGTGGAGGAAAGAGGAGAGGAGTCCTACAGTATCTCCGTTTCCTATCCAGTGTTTCTCAACTCCAGTCCTTGAGTGAAATACCAGGGTTTCACATTTTTGTTCCAGCCCTGTACTAGCACAGGGCTATAAATATGTTGTACTAGTACAGGGACTAGATCAGAACTGTACGACCCAGGGGGTGCCCAGACTGAAGTAAAAAAAACACACTGATCTAACCCCTAATTGAGCCAAGCTCCTACACATTTTTAAAATACATTTTAGTCATTTAGCAGACGCTCTTATCCAGAGCGACTTACAGTTAGTGAGTGCATAAATTTTTTTTCATACTGGTCCCCTGTGGGAAACGAACCCACAACCCTGGCGTAGCAAACGCCATGCTCTACCAGCTGAGCTACACGGGACTATAGCACACACGTAGGAACTAAAATCTGCACACACAGGGGACACTGGGAACCGCTATTGGCCGACAAACAGCCCAGTCCCCACTCCATGGGCTACAACAGAGTTCCCCAACTGGCGGCCTGAGGGCTGAGTTTTCGGAGCAAAATAAAACAATTATATATAATTCTTTACATTTTCATTGTTGGACATAAGACTAAAAACACCAGGAAATTAGCTACAAGTGATTTTAATTTAAGAAATCTGTTCCCAAGTATTCCCACGCATAATAGAGAGACACGTGATCGTATACAAATGTAAGCAAGGTTTGAAATTATTATGTTTTAGTCAAACATACCTGTTTGGACTTCTTGCAGTCAATTTGCAGACTACAAATGATTTGTAATTATAAACTTGGTGGTTCAAGCCCTGAATGCTGATTGGCTGACAGCCGTGGTATATCAGACTGTATACCACGGGTATGACAAAACATTTCTTGTTACTGCTCTAATTTTACATTTACATTTTAGTCATTTAGCAGACGCTCTTATCCAGAGCGACTTACAGTTAGTGAATGCATACATGTTTTTTTTTTGTTTTTTTCATACTGGCCCCCCGTGGGAAACGAACCCACATCCCTGCCGGCCAAACCCTCCCCTACCTCGGACGGCGCTGGACCAATTGTGCGCCGCCCATGGGTCTCCCGGTCGTGGCCGGCTGCGACAGAGCCTGGACTCGAACCAGGATCTCTAGTGGCACAGCTAGCACTGCGATGCAGTGCCTTAGACCACTGCGCCACTCGGGAGTCATGACACACAGAGAGCCATGTATTTAGAGAGTCGGGACATTGAGGTTCCTGCATTATGATGATTTACATGACACTAGAAAATATGGCAGCCATGATAGCACCCCATTAACATTACATGGCAGTCTTACGTCAGATAGAGCGACGATTCCGCCTGCACTGGTCCCTGTTGAGGGACGAGCGTCGTGTAGGAGTGATGCCACCTTTCTTGTTACTGCTTTAATTAAGTTGGTAACTAGTTTAGAATAGCAATAAGGCACCTCGGGGGTTTGTGGTATATGGACAATATACCACAGCTAAGGGCTGTATCCAGGCACTCTGCGTTGCGCATAAGAACAGCCCTTATCCGTGGTATATTGGCCATATACCACACCCCCTCCGGCCTTACTGCTTAATTTTGTTCTGGTCCCCCGACTATCCGCTCAAGAAAAAAAATAATCGGCCCACGGCTGAATCTAGTGGATGATCCCTGGGCTACAACCACTAACCCTAACCTTGGGAGGATTGGCCACATTTGTAGAGTGGTGGTATGAAGACACTGCTGGCCAATCAAATCAAAGAGCAGTTTGTGGTAGTAGCTTATAGAGTGGACCGTGTTACATCTCCCCTTCATAGTCCTGTGCATAGCAGAACACACACCAGGGTTGGGCTCAATTCAGTTTGTTTTCTATTGAATTGTAATTCACTTCCTGAATTGAAAACTGAATTGACCCCAACACGCACAGTTCTGCACTTCATTGTATGCCTGATACATTGTTCAAACAAGGCTACCAAAATAAACAAGCACTAACATCTGTATTCTGTCACTTTTTTTTACAAAAAAGAAAGTTGATCTGCAAACGAAGACAAATGAAATACTGTATATCCTTTCCATTGTCCGGATTGGACGAGAGGATGGTGGAGGTGGAGCCAAACCAGGTGTGTCTTGATGTCCAAACTTGTACACTACTTAGTACAAAGTTATGTATTCACTAGTGTGTATAATAGGCCAGGAAATCAAATAAATTATTGTCCTAGGCATCGGAGTGAAACGCTCCATCTCAAATGTCACCCTATTCTCCATATAGTGCACTTCTTTTGAATTTGGATTTCAACTCCATGACTGAATTGCCCCGGAATTGAGGGTTAGAATTCATCGTGTCTTGCCAAAGCTTCTCCAAAGTCAGTAGCCTGGCTGCCAACGAAGAGGTCATACTTTTCTACGATCTCTGCCTTGGTCAGACGGCCATCCTACAGAGAGAGGGGGAGAGAAAACACAATCTTTGGTTAGATGCGCTCTGTTTCAGTGCATGCCCACACACACACACACACACACACACACACCTTGTCATTATCTGACTCGTAGAGCAGGTGTTTGGCTTCAGCCTCTGCGTGGTCGTAGTCTGAGGGGAGGATCCAGTCTCTGGTCTCCTCCTTGTCCATGAGGCCATCTTTGTTTTTGTCTCTGAACTCAGTAAACTGTTCTCTCTCTGTCTTCACCCACTCTGGCTCTGAAGGATCCTCCTGGTTATACATGTCTCCTAGAGGAGGGGGAGGAGAGAGGGAAGAGAGGAGGGGAGGAAAAGAGAGAGACGCTGATGACATGTTATAACTACGTGTCCTCCATGTACTGATCCAGGTGTTATTACAGGTAATAATGCACCCATGTACTCCTTCAGGTGTTTATTACAGGTTATAACTCACCTATGTACTCCTCCAGATCTATGAAGCCGTCTCCGTTTTTATCAATGTCCTCCATGGTCTCCTACAGGAGAGGGTATTGGCACAAAGATGTTACTGGCTGGCTACCTTAGACAAAGAAATTGTGTGTATATTACAAAATAAATACTCTGTGTGTGTGTGTGTGTGACCCACCAGTACAACTATATCCTTCATATGGTCGTACTCCTCAGGATGGAGGAAGGCTGTAAACTCCTCTTTACTGGCCTTCAGGTCCGCGTCCAGGTCGGCCATTTTGAATCTCCTCTCGTCGCGTGACATCATCTGTCTGTAGCTGAAGCCATCTTCTGGGTCTGAGTCATCTTAGGGGCACACACCAATTAGAACAGTTTAAGTCAGACCTTCAAGTAAAAAGGCACTTGTCAGGTGTCGTAGGTTACATTCTTGTACTCCTTTCAGAGTGTGTGTCTGTACCCAGTATGTATCCGTACGTAGCATTCTTGTACTCCTCCCAGGACACCAGTCCATCTCCATTAAGGTCGTGACCTTTCCACTGGCGGTCCACATCATCATAGATCCACCTCTTCTGACTGTGTTTGATCCACTTCTTCATCTCCTCTACTGACACATAGCCATTCCTGTCCTCATCTATACGCTCTACCAACATACTGTAGGGAGAGAGAGATGAAGGGTGTTAATTCATCTTTTCATATCTTCTATATGAATCAATTTATCTCGCTTCTAAACAAGATGCAGCAGTTTAGTGAGTTCCTGTGTGTGGGTGTGTGTTACCCCAGTCTCTCCTTGCTCTCTTCAGGTGTGAGCTGATCAAAGGTCTTGGCCTCTTCCTGTCCAAGAAATGCTTCATGGTCATAATCAAAGTTATTTGCGTCATCATGGTTGCGGTTGCTAAGCTGGTCGTCATGGTGGACACGGTCCTTCTTCTCGATGGTGGGTTTACTGGAGGCATAGACCATGCACAGCGCAAAGCACATGACCAACGGCCGCAGCTCCATACTCTGACACACACACAGGACAGAGAGATGCGTACAACAATATGTTTGTGTCAGTGTGACAATGCATTTGGTTGACGACAGGAATTCGTCATGACCATCTTTAGTTTCACCATACTAACAATAACGTTACTGTTGTTGTGACGGCCTTTGCAAGCTAGAAATCTAGCCTGATATCAACGTGATCAGTGTGTGTGATAAGATGAGGTAGCTAGCTAGGTAGTTCCACCAAAGACATTTATAACAAACTCAGTTTCCCCTATTCATCTGTGGTTCCACCGTTTCTGTCTAAACTACCTACGTTTTTTAAATTACAGGCGTAGCTAGCAGGCTTTATGTGAGTCCTCTTACTACCCTGCTGTGCAGACAGTTAGCAAGCAAGCTAACGTTAGCAAATAAGCATGCTCGCTAGCTCGAAATCTGTTGTTGAAATAAATGCACAGCTCATTTCAGTGTGTGTAACGTTAATGTTCCAACAAATTAGCAGGATAAAAACAGATGCACTGTGTATTTACGTAGGCGTAAAAATTATATTTTACTCACCGGTCTTTCTGAAGTCTTTCGATCTTGACCGTCAACGTCTACTCAAGATACACACGCATCGCCGACGCCGTAGTAAAGTCGTTTCCTGTACTAAGATAAGCTTGTACCATACCGATCGTCCGTTGGTCCACTTCAGGACAGCTTCGGCCTTTTGATTGGTCAATAACTGCCACGTCCACACGCTATGAGCGTGTAAAAAACAAAAACAAAAAAAAACATCCCCATTCACAAAACACAGCAGCACTTATCAGGCAGGACTCGTCAAACAACTTTCTAACACTGACTTTTATTTCTTTTTGTGACATTATATATATATATTTTTTAACTGCATCACACAACCAAGTGTATTAGTAGGATCTGCATGAGTGCATCCCCTCTCAAACTGCATGCCCATTTCATCATCAATCATTGACATTCCGATTGAGTGGGGATATTCTGAAATGAAGGAATGAGGTGATGGTGATAAAATAGAGATACTGTATGAGAGATTTAAGCAGTTCTCAATTCCATTATATCAGGAAATATCCCATCTATGAAGTACTAGAATACGTTAAATCAAGCACAACACATGGCTAGAAAGCATAATTTATTTCAACAACATACGCAGTACAAAAACATAAATCCAATACAAATCAAAGGTAAATCCTAATTAATGGAGTTGCTGCCAGTGTCCTGCCTGACCTCTCTACCCGGTCTTGTGCCCCATCGTGTGTGCTCCCCCTTCCCCTGCTGGCTTGGAGGTCCTCTTTGGGTTCTGGATGAAGTGAGAGAGTGAGTCGAGTCTGGCTGGGGACATTCCGTCACTCAGTGGCCGAAACTGAAAGTCTCCTGCAACAGCAACAAACAACACAAACAGCCACATTCAAGCATCTTCATGTTGCATAAAAAAACAGAGCTAAATTCAAGCATCTCAATGTTTGACTTTGGGTACAAAGGCACTGTATTGTGCAGTAAAATGTGCATTGAATAGAGTCACTAGAAGCAAAGGTCCAACCCCACCACATTTAATTATAATAATCAATAATTATGCCATTTAGCAGAAGCTTTTATCCAAACCGACTTACAGTCATGCATGCATACATTTTTACGTATGGGTGCTCCCAGGAAACAAACCCACTATACAGTCGTTGCAAGCGCCATGCTTTACCAACTGAGCTACAGAGGACCACAGTATTGATCCAAAATAGAGAGCACAGCACAATAGTCAGTGTGTGTGTGAGTGTGTACCTGAGCTGTTGTCTCCTTCCTTTTTCTCAGCAAGGAAGGTTCTCTGCATCATCAGTCTCTTAACTGTGTGGCACTTATAGCTCAGCTCTGGACTGGCTTCAGGGTCTGCCCCTAAACAAACAAACACACACACACGGGAGAGAGAGAGAGAGGAGAGAGAACGTAACACAGAGTGAAGATTAGTTCACCTCTATAAAACTCTCCACTCGTCAATAAACTCACCACTCGACTGTCCCTCCTCGAAGAGCACACAGGTGCCCAGAGCATCTTTCAGGAGAGATGGGGGAGAGAAGAGAGAGACAGAGAGGGGAGAGTTAAACAGATACTCAGTCTGTAACTCAGTATCACAACAAAAGGGCACTAATAAGAACACTACTCCTAAACATGTAGAACTACATTAATTTCCTGGAAAATGGATAACACAAATTCATAACAAATGTTGTATTAAAAACAGACCCCTAGCCCATCTTCCCTAGATACTCCTGTAGCAATACGGCAACTCTTCCACCTAGTCTATCAGTAGGAAAGATGCAACAAGTGACATGTTGAGTTGTTTTTATTCATCCAGTCCCTTCAGATCTAAAGTGTGCATAGGGAGCAGGGGCAAGGGGTCGATTAGGAATTCTGCAAATATGTTGTTGTTATAGGTCCCGTGTAGCTCAGTTGGTAGAGCATGGCGCTTGCAATGCCAGGGTTGTGGGTTCGATTCCCACAGGGGGCCAGTATAAAAAAATAATAAAATACATGTATGCACTAACTGTAAGTCGCTCTGGATAAGAGCGTCTGCTAAATGACTAAAATGTAAAATGTTGTAAGGTGTAAGCAAATAGAATCCACCAATAATTAATACACTTACCGTCATACTCTCCTGCAAACACGTACCTTCCCACCTGCATCATTGGCTGCTCACTGTCAATGTCCTTCAATACAACAAATCAGACAATCAACAGGAGAGGAGGAACATACAGGTTTCATTCAATGTTTTCTTTGCAACCTACTGTAGCGTGCGAGAAAGTGAAGCCAGATCACTCACCAGAATCTTGCAGGTGCCCTGACACTTGGTCAAAAAATCTGAGTTAATTATACCAGAGAGCTCAACCACAACCAACTGCTCCTAAAAAGACAGAGGAGGGAGAAAGAGAACAAGAGATGCAAAAAAATTGAAGAAATTCTCTTCAGTCATTTTTCCATGGTAGAGGGTCTTTCTGATCACAACAAACACTGCAACATTAGATGGCAAACAACACTAGATAGCCAACACATTTTATGGTAGACAGTCTTACCAGAGGTCTCTAGACTACTGTAGGGGCCATTTGTACACTACAGGTGCATCCCAATACTCTCTCTCCTTTCTCCCAAAGTGTGCACTTGTTAATTTGCCTTCACTGATATGAAAGGAAATGACTGGTATAAGAAATATGGTGAAAACTCCCTCTAGCCTAGTTCGACCAATCCAATGCTTTTAGATTTGAGGGAAGTCTTCTCCTTCGGTGGGGTTTAACGGCGGTTGGCATCCAGTTCCCTGTGACCTGCCCTGTCTGGAATTGCGGGGAGTAACAGCGTAGCCTACGTTGTTACCATGACAAAGACCAAAGCCGGTGGGAGTACCGTTGAGGATAGTGGTGTGTCTCTATCACAGGTGAAGGATCTTTTAAATGAACAAAAATAGTTTTACAAGCAGTTGTTAAAAACAACAAGAAAATAGTCAACTAATAAAATAATGGACGACCTGACCAGAGAGGTCCAGGACCTGAAGAACAGTTTGCAGTTCTCCCAGGGTCAGCTCGATGAGTTTGAAAAGGAAAACGGCAAGATGACAATAATCTGTAAGTCATTGAGAGAGGACATTAGTTCTGTAAGTGAATCCATGATAACAATGATGGAGAAATCAGATTATCTCGAGGGACAATCAAGGCGGAACAATATTGTTGTAGACGGAATTGCAGAATCTCCACGAGACCTGGACGAAGTTTGAGGATAAAGTGAAGGAAATGATCTTGGAGAAACTGAAGATGGACCACAGGAAGATTCAGTTGGAGCGCGGACACAGGACTGGGAAACCCACCACCGGCCCAGGTGACAGGCCCAGGCCGATAGTCGTCAGGTTTCTGAGGTTCAAGGACAAGGTAGCGGTTCTGGAAAGAACCAAGAACTTGAGGGGAACATACAGTGCATTCGGAAAGTATACAGACACTTTGACGTTTTCCACATTTTGTTACGTTACAGCCTTATTCTAAAATGGATTTTAAAAATAGCTCAGGTCCATCCTGTTTCCATTGATCATCCGTGAGATGTTTCTACAACTTGATTGGAGTCCACCTGTGGTAAATTCAATTGATTGGACATGATTTGGAAAGGCACACACCTGTTTACATAAGGTCCCACAGTTGACAGTGCATGTCAGAGCAAAAACCAAGCAATGAGGTCGAAGGAATTGTCCGTAGAGCTCCGAGACAGGATTGTGACGAGGCACAGATCTGGGGAAGGGTACCAAAACATTTCTGCAGCATTGAAGGTCCCCAAGAACACAGCGGCCTCCATCATTCTTAAATGGAAGTTTGGAACCACCAAGACACTTCCTAGAGCTGGCCGCCCGGCCAAACTAAGCAATCGGGGGAGAAGAGCCTTGGTCAGGGAGGTGACCAAGAACCCAATGGTAACTATGAAAGAGCTCCAGAGTTCCTCTGTAGAGATGGGAGAACCTTCCAGAAGGACAACCATCTCTGCAGCATTTCACCAATCAGGCCTTTATGGTAGAGTGGCCAGACAGAAGCCACTCCTCAGTAAAAGGCACATGACTGCCCGCTTGGAGTTTGCCAAAAGACACCTAAAGGACTCAGATCATGAGAAACACAATTCTGTGGTCTGATGAAACCAAGATTGAACTCTTTGGCCTGAATACCAAGCGTCACATCTGGAGGAAACCTGGCACCATCCCTACGGTGAAGAATGGTGGTGGCAGCATCATGCTGTGGGGATATTTTTCAGCGGCAGGGACTGGGAGACTAGTCAGGATCGAGGGAAAGATGAACGGAGCCAAGTACAGAGAGATCCTTGATGAAAACCTGCTCCAGAGCGCTCAGGACCTCAGACTGGGGCGAAGGTTCACCTTCCAACAGGACAACGACCCTAAACACACAGCCAAGACAACGCAGGAGTGGCTTCGGGACAAGTCTCTGAATGTCCTTGAGTGGCCCAGCAAGAGCCGGGACTTGAACTCGATCGAACATCTTTGGAGAGACCTGAAAAGAGCTGTGCAGCGACGCTCCCCATCCAACCTGACAGAGCTTGAGAGGATCTGCAGAGAAGAATAGGAGAAACTCCCCAAATACAGGTGTGCCAAGCTTGTAGCGTCATACCCAAGAAGGCTGTAATCGCTGCTAAAGGTGCTTCAACAAAGTACTGAGTAAAGGGTCTGAATACTTATGTAAATGTATTATTAAAGTTTTTTTTATTTGTAATAATTTAGCAAAAATGTCTAAAAACCGGTTTTTGCTTTGCCATTATGGGGTATTGGGTGTAGATTGATGAGGGGGAAAAACAATTTAATCAATTTTAGAATAAGGCTGTAAAGTAACAAAATGTGAAGAAAGTCAAGGGGTCTGAATACTTTCTGAATGCACTGTACATCTTCCTAATTGAGGACTATCCTGAAGCTGTGCGCCAGAAGACAAAATAACTGATCCCGGCCATGAAAGCTGCCAGAGAGCATGGGGACATTGCTTACATCTGATATGACAGGCTCATAGTCCACCCTCCCCCCCAAAAGCCTGGAAAGGATGAGAGCCAAGCCTATGGGTTCGTAGCTTCAACCCCTCAGCACACACACACACCAATTGATTAATGGACTACTGAATGTATATATATATTTTTTTAAATTATCTTGCTTTGTTTGTTATTTTCCATATTACGTATATATATGAGAAGCTACCCAGAAAAGGGCTGAAAATAGCCCATATTAATATATGTAGCCTTAGAAATAAGGTTCATGAAATCAATAACTTGCTATCAGATAACATCAGTATAAAGCAACACCTCACGCCTCTCCCCTATTTGACACAGATCTTAACCTAAATTGCGTGACACAGTGCCGACTCCCTCTGGGCGGAAGTAACACAAACAACTAAATCACAAGTCCACTACGGGTTACCTTCACTGATTCAACTATACCTAATCCTTTCCCACCCACAACTAGATCCGGCAAAGAGCAAGGATCCACTCTCTCCAAAAATGTTGCTTCTACTGGACCAGATTATTCTTTATCATGTCCATCAATGCAAGGCTCGGACTCCGAGCTCTTCACCACACCACCCACCTCACTCCTCACTTCATTTGCCCTAATTAATTTCACCTCCAGAACTCGGTATGGTGTACGGCTCACTCTGTTTGTACTTGACAACAATCTTCTTCGACACACCATCTTCTTCTTTTTCGCCATCTTCAGAGTCAAATTCAACCTCTGCTTCTCATTCTTTTTTTCCTTTCATTCCTCCTCCGAAATCCAATTAAATGACTCCTTGTGAAAATACTCTACTTTTTCGAATAGAAATCTATTTCTTGCCTCCTTGAGGGACGACATCTACCAAAAAGCCGCATTCCCTTTCATGAATCCCTGTTCAGCCTGACAGCCTCATTTGGAACACGCAGGCAGAGGGAGAGGCAGCGTGCAAGAAAAACATTAATCATGTGTGGGAAGTAGTGAACGAGTGTACACTTCAGGAGGTAGGATAGATGTTTGAGAGGCCCCCTTGGGGATATTGGCCCTCCTGTAGCTCAGTTGGTAGAGCATGGCGCTTGCAACGGATGGGTTGTGGGTTCGTTTCCCACGGGGGGCCAGTATGAAAAATGTATGCACTCACTAATTGTAAGTCGCTCTGGATAAGAGCGTCTGCTAAACGACTAAAATGTCAATTGGATCACAAAAAAAAATAAAAAAATAGGGACGCCGGAAAGTGTTAGCTCACAGGTTGAAGGAGAGCATATGGTTCTTACCTTCTCACTAGATCAGCATGTAATACAACTCTCTGCACATTTGTTCGGTAAATCAAATGTATTGCTCATTTTTATTGTATATTCTGAAATAAATGGGAACTTCACCCAACCAAAGATATACGTCTGGAATGCCAATTGTATTTGGTCGCTTCACAAACTGCTCTCATTCTGTGCCAGTGGCGTTTCATAGGGAATCACCACTACAACCAGAGACGAATAAGCAAAGTCACTATCTGTTGCGACTACTCTTTGGTCTTACCTCCTCCTCCCATTCGTCTTCCATTTTCACGATTCTTGATAAGAAACTGCCTGGAATAGTAAATAAAGACCCACACCGCTGTGAAGCGGGCATTAATAACTAAGTACTTCCGGGTCACGGAGTTTTGGACTCCTTCAGAATACATGTCCCTTCCTGTATACTTTGTAAATGAGTAATTAGGGCGAAAATTATGACAAATGTGCACAATTATTGATATATTTGATACTAGTTATCATACAAATAATAATTAAAAGTATTTCTATAAGATATGTCATTTTTTGTATTTTAATTTTTTGCCTTAAATGGTTAACAATGTTTTTTGTGTGTGTACTCCTATCATTTATTTCACCGTTCAAAATTATCTGTACTTGTGTCGCAGTACAAGGGGTTTGCATTCAACTCAAATCCACAAAGTTTACATCCAGTGGAGCTTCGCTGCTCATTTGACAGCCCTTACAGAGTGGCCCATCAACTTAAATCCAATAGCGTTTTCATTTTGGACATACATATTGCACCTTACAAAATTATCTGTACGTTGTGTAGCAGTAAAAGGAGGGGCCATTCTACTCAGGAGCACTTCTAGTATCGAAATCCACAGAGTTTACACACAGAGGAGCGTCACTGTTCATTTGGCGGCCCTTATAGTGGCCTATCAGTTTAAATCCAATAGTTTTTCCATATTGGACATTCATATTGCACTGTAAACAATTTTCTGTACGTTGTGTCGCTGTAAAAGGATGGGCCATTCTACTCAGGAGCACTTCAGCTTTCCAAATCCACTGAGTTTACACCCCCAGCAATGTCGCTGCTCATTTTGCGGCCACATTTCATACACAATTTTCTGTACATGACATTTATATTGGCAAACAATTTGAGCTTCTACTTCTAAAAATCCACCTGTCCAGAAATAAGTATCTCACTGTTGCCGCTTGCTACAGACCCCCCTCAACCCCCAGCTGTGCCCTGGACACCATATGTGAATTGATTGCCCCCCATCTATCCTCAGAGTTCGTACTGCTTGGTGACCTAAACTGGGATATGCTTAACACCCCGGCCGTCCTACAATCTAAACTAGATGCCCTCAATCTCACACAAATTATAAAGGAACCTACCAGGTACAACCCTAAATCCGTAAACATGGGCACCCTCATAGATATCATCCTGACTAATTTACCCTCTAAATACACCTCCGCTGTCTTCAAACAGGATCTCAGCGATCACTGCCTCATTGCCTGCGTCCGCAATGGGTCCGCGGTCAAACGATCACCCCTCATCACTGTCATACGCTCCCTAAAACACTTTAGCGAGCAGGCCTTTCTAATTGACCTGGCCCGGGTATCCTGGATGGATATTGACCTCATTCCGTCAGTAGAGGATGCCTGGTTGTTCTTTAAAAGTGCTTTCCTCTCCATATTAAATAAGTATGCCACGTTCAACAAATTCAGAACTAAGAACAGATATAGCCCCTGGTTCACCCCAGACTTGACTGCCCTTGACCAGCACAAAAACATCCTGTGGCGTACTGCATTAGCATCGAACAGCCCCCGCGATATGCAACTTTTAAGGGAAGTTAGGAACCAATATACACAATCAGTTAGGAAAGCAAAGGCTAGCTTTTTCAAACAGAAATTTGCATCCTGTAGCACTAACTCCAAAAAGTTTTGGGACACTGTAGAGTCCATGGAGAATAAGAGCACCTCCTCCCAGCTGCCCACTGCACTGAGGCTAGGAAACACTGTCACCACCGATAAATCTACGATAATCGAGAATTTCAACAAGCATTTTGCTACGGCTGGCCATGCTTTCCACCTGGAAACCCCTACCTTGGCCAACAGCTCTGCAACCTCCGCTGCAACTTGCCCATGCCCCCCCGCTTCTCCTTCACCCAAATTCAGACAGCTGATGTTCTGAAAGAGCTGCAAAATCTGGACCCTTTCTTTTTAAAATTAGCCGCCAAAATTGTCGCAACCCCTATTACTAGCCTGTTCAACCTCTCTTTCGTCGTCTGAGATCCCCAGAGATTGGAAAGCTGCCGCGGTCATCCCCCTCTTCAAAGGGTGTGACACTCTAGATTAAAACAGTTACAGACCTATATCCATCCTGCCCTGCCTTTCGAAAGTATTTGAAAGCCAAGTTAACAAACAGATCACTGACCATTTCGAATCCCACCGTACCTTCTCCGCTATGCAATCTGGTTTCCGAGCTGCTCATGGGTGCACCTCAGCCACGCTCAAGGTCCTAAACGATATTATAACCGCGATTGATAAAAGACAGTACTGTGCAGCCGTCTTCATCGACCTGGCCATGGCTTTCGACTCTGTCAATCACTGCATTCTTATTGGCAGACTAAATAGCCTTGGTTTCACAAATGACTGCCTCGCCTGGTTCACCAACTACTTCTCAGATAGAGTTCAATGTGTCAAATCGGAGGGCCTGTTGTCTGGACCTCTGGCAGTCTCTATGAGAGTTCTCGGGCCGACTCTATTCTCTGTGTATATCAATGATGTCGCTCTTGCTGCTGGTGACTCTCAGATCCAACTCAACGCAGACGACAACATTTTGTATACATCTGGCCCTTCATTGGACACTGTGTTAACAAACCTCCAAACGAGCTTCAATGCCATACAACACTCCTTCCGTAGCCTCCAACTGCTCTTAAACGCTAGTAAAACTAAATGCATGTTCTTCAATCGAATGCTGCTTGCACCCGCCCGCCCAACTAGAATCACTACTCTCGGCGGGTCTGACTTAGAATATGTGGACAACTACAAATACCTAGGTGTCTGGTTAGACCGTAAACTCTCCTCCCAGACTCACATTAAGCATCTCCAATCCAAAGTTAAATCTAGAATCAGCTTCCTATTTCGCAACAAAGCCTCCTTCACTCATGCTGCCAAACATGCCCTCGTAAAACTGACTATCCTACCGATCCTTGACTTCGGCGATGTCATTTACAAAATAGCCTCCAACACTCTACTCAGCAAATTGGATGTAGTCTATCACAGTGCCATCCGTTTTGTCACCAAAGCCCCATATACTACCCACCATTGTGACCTGTACGCTTTCGTTGGCTGGCCCTCACTACATATTCGTCGCCAAACCCAATGGCTCCAGGTCATCTATAAATCACTGCTAGGCAAATCCCCGCCTTATCTTAGTTCATTGGTCACCATAGCAACACCCATCCGTAGTATGCGCTCCAGCAGGTATATCTCACTGGTCATCCCCAAGGCCAACACCTCCTTTGACCACCATTCCTTCCAGTTCTCTGCTGCCAATGACTGGAACGACTGCAAAAATCTCTGAAGCTGGAGACTCTTATCTCCCTCACTAACTTTAAGCATCAGTTGTCAGAGCACCTTACCGATCACTGCACCTGTACACAGCCCATCTGTAATTAGCCCACCCAACTACCTCATCCCCATATTGTTATTTCTTTTGCTAATTTGCACCCCAGTATCTCTATTTACACATAATCTTCTGCATATCTATCACTCCTGTGTTAATACTAAATTGTAATTATTTTGCACTATGGCCTATTTATTGCCTTACCTCCATAACTTACTACATTTGCACACACTGTATATAGATTTTCTATTGTGTTATTGACTGTACGTTTTGTTTATCCCATATGTAACTCTGTGTTGTTGTTGTTTTTATCGCACTGCTTTACTTTATCTTGGCCAGGTCGCAGTTGTAAATGAGAACTTGTTCTCAACTGGCTTACCTGGTTAAATAAAAATAAAAAATACATTTAAAAAATGACTCACCTTTTTATGGGTGTTTCCCAGCAGTTTGTGATTTGTAAGTATTTTGTATCAGCGGTGGCTTCATGTTCAAGTCCCGTTCTACCACACCTGATTCTACTAATCAGCTTAGAACTGGGCTTGAACAAAGGCATGCACACCCTGTGGGTCCTTGAGAGCAGGTTGGACCAGCCTTGATTAAAAAGTATTACACTGAACAAAAATATAAATCCAACATGCAACAATTTCAAAGATTTTACTGAGTTACAGTTCATATAAGGAAATCAGTCAATTGAAATAAATTCATTAGGCCCTAATCTATGGATTTCACATGACTGGCAATACAGATATGCATCTGTTGTACACAGATACTTTTTTTTAAAAGTAGGGGCGTGGATCAGAAAACCAGTCAGTATCTGGTATGACCACCATTTGCCTTGTGCAGCGCGACACATCTCCTTCGTATAGAGTTGATCAGGCTGTTAATTGTGGCCTGTGGAATGTTGTCCCACTCCTCTTCAATGGCTGTGCGAAGTTGCTGGATATTGGCGGGAACTGGAACATGCTATCGTACACGTCGATCCAGAGCATCCCAAACATGCTCAATGGGCGTCATGTCTGGTGAGTATGCAGGCCATGGAAGAACTGGGACATTTTCAGCTTCCAGGAATTGTGTACATATCCTTGCGACATGGGGCCATGCATTATCATGCTGAAACATGAGGTGACGGCAGCAGATAAATGTCACGACAATTGGCCTCAGGATCTCGTCACAGTATCTCTGTGCATTCAAAATGCCATCGATAAAATGCAATCGTGTTCTTTGTCTGTAGCTTATGCCTGCCCATACCATAACCCCACCGCCACCAACCAAACCGCTTGCCCACACGACGCCATACACGCTGTCTGCCATCTGCCAGGTACAGTTGAAACTGTGATACATCCGTGAAAAGCACACTTCTCCAGCGTGCCAGTGGCCATCGAAGGTGAGCATTAGCCCACTGAAGTCGGTTACGACGCAGAACTGCAGTCAAGTCATGACCCTGGTGAGGACGACAAGCACACAGATGAGCTTCCCTGAGACGGTTTCTGACAGTTTGTGCAGAAATTCTTAGGTTGTGGAAATCCCCAGTTTCATCAGCTGTCCGGCTGGCGTGGTTACACGTGGTCTGTGGCCAAATTCTCTAAAACAATGTTGGAGGCGGCTATGGTAGAGAAATTAACATTAAATTATCTGGCAAATTCTGCAGTCAGCATGCCAATTGCACGCTCCCTCAAAACATGAGACATCTGTGGCATTGTGTTGTGTGACAAAACTACACCTGTGTAATGATCATGCTGTTTAATCAGCTTCTTGATATGCCACACCTGTCAGATGGATGGATTATCTTGACAAA